CCGGCAAAGAACACAATAACAAAGTGTCTTCCCCTTAATAGAGACAATAAGAAAAGTGTTAATGGACACATTCTTAGTTATACTTTCCTAGCAAATTAAGACAAAATAGAATTACTTATTAGCATTAAAGCTAGATTGTAATTTTTTATGATGTTACCGCATGAGGTCACATCATATAAACAAAAAAAAAAAAAAAAAACCTTATATCAGATATGTACACAGCAGCTCATGATCTTTGAAAGGCCTTAACCATAAAAAGAAAACTTTGAAAAGCACAAAATAGTTATGATGATTAAATAAAATAAGATAATCTTTTTTGTTTTGGTAAAACAGTATGGAATTGACAGTTCAATCGGCACCAGCGACGATACGCCACCTGTCGGGATAAAAAGTTAGTGTGCCTCCCCATTGACGTAACATCGACTGCGTTCGACCAATAAAATATTAAGAAGAAAAAGAAAAATGTTCCATAAGACAAACTTTGTTATTTCTGCAAAAACCTGAAAATATTAAATAGGTAATAAAAATTCGATCGAATATTTTAAAATTGTTTTATAAAACATAATAAATACAGGCTATAACGCAATGGACAACAAGTAAGGTGGGAACGCAATGAAATAGAAATTACACAGGACGGCAAGTGTCTTTGGAACCAATAGATGACTTCATAATCATTTCAATCATACATTTGGTAAAAGTTCAACGGTTTCATAATTCAATGTAAAAAAAAACCGTACCTTTTTTGTAGATTATTGCTATAATTGTGACTGAAAGCTAGAAATGTCTATTATTTTTTATATACGCAAATCCAAAAAGATGACAAAACAGATTGACTGAATATAAATATATGATTGTAATAGTTGTGAAGACACCAACAGATTCAATATCAAATTATCTTAAATTTATACAAACGGTTAACATTCTTATAGGCATAATTTAATAATTTATTTCGTTCGTTCGAATCATGCATGTTTTACTACCTTTTCGGAACGGAACGTGACAGACGAAAAACTAAAATTCAATTAACAATTAAACTTTCGCTCAGTCAGTAAACGCGGTGTAGTGTTGCCAATTGAGATACTACCAACAAGTAAAGTAAAACATGCACTAACTCTCAATTGTATTAAACTACATTAAGAGAAAAGTACATCTTGTGAAAACATTGAATGTCATGTAATGTGAAGCTAAAATTAATTGCACTGACCACAATAAAATTACAATGCGTTGTTAAAAATGACTAGTACTTAGTATATTGTTACAACACCAAAGTTATGACTATTTAAACTGGTTCCTACAAACAATATTTCAACTTAAAAATTGAACAAACTTGAATTATATTACCAAAAAGCTATTTATAATATAAAACATAATCAACAGTATTTATACCTTACTTTACAGTCAAAATAGTCACAACTTTTACAGAAAAATTATATCCAAAATACATATTATTATATTCAAGCGTAGAGATTCGTTAACTAGTGGACACACCCGATAAAAATAAAGAATTTAAAAAAAATATTGCGACAAAAATAAAGCTCAGTAGACAAGGCATCTCATTATTCCCCTTTCATTTAATATGTACATAAATTGTAATCAAAAGTGCTTAACTATGTAGTGGTACCTAGATGCCGCTTGGTTGTGACGGTTCATGAAACACGTATCATTGTTGGCCACGCTGACTCACGAACGGAGACGCGAAACGACATCCAAGTGTGTTTACTTGTCGCGGAGAACCTCTCGACGTGCAGGAGAAGGAACGGAGTGGTTTTTAGTCAGTAAGAGTCTGACACTCCCTCCCGCCTCACCCAGGCGGGAGCAGTTATTCGATGATTTCCCCCTCTTAAAAAAAATGTGCGGTGCGATGTAAGTAGCGGGATGTCGTACCATATGTTTGATATTTCAGGACCGCGCCCGCGAGTCAGCGTATACAAACACTTAGTGAAATTAATGAATGTACTCTACTATTCGACTGCTAACGCCAAGCGGATACTGCTTCTAGTAATTTATACCAAAATAAGTTTTCTTCTGACAAACATTCAGTTTAAAAAAGAATAAAGTTTATTATTACTCGTATGACGAGATAGTCACGTGCAATGCCCTGAATTATATGTGTCCATCTACGGGTCTGCTGGGTACTAGCATTTTCTGGCAATCAAGCGTCGTAAGTCACGCACATATGTATTATCTACTTACCAAGTAGCGCTTAACCAAATATTCTGAGTAGACCACTTATTTTGGCATCAATTTTTTATCCTAGTTTTTATTTCTATTTTAAGCGATAACAGTAAAACCTCCTTAAGTATAGAAACACGTTTAAATAGATGCAAACTAACCATATTTTTCACTTCACTTCGAAAAATTATAATCGTGTCATTATTAAATACTGCAATTGTATCTTATTTTGACCTATGTATAGACATATTCTAGGAATGTCCAATATTCCTCGTTTTTGTATAATTTTAATCTAAATAAATATTAACATTTATCATCTAAGTCATTATATCCGTCCGGAGAATTATACTTTTTAACACTTACTAATACTGCCCTATTAGCCGATTTGTGTACATAATATGTCTATACATCAGAGAATATATAATAGTACCTAAGTTTGTCTTAAAATTGTGTATTGGCAGTGAAGTCAGTGCTTTGTGATCCATATAAATGATACAACTGTACAATGTAAGGTACATAGGTAGAGGTACCATATTTTTTTAATTGTTTTCCATAATTTAACTCTGATAAACATATAAGCTACTAAAGATGTTTCAAAACACATAAATCGCAGTATATAAAGACAATTTATCAGTAAAACTTTGAATTAACTTAGGGTAAAACCTTAACGACTTAAGGTGAATGTTTCAGGGTAGCCCGAAATTTTATTTTTCATAAGTTTTTTGGGTTTTAAAGCACGACATCGGGTAATATGATAATCAAACATAATTATTATATGAGTGGTAGTGAAATGTATGTGTTTACACAGTTACCTATACTAGTTAAAAACAATCAACATTACACTGTAACTTATGCTTTGTTTACACTACGCTAGTATTTTAGTCGAGTAGCGAGTATTCAGTAGTCCTCTCTGGCTTCTGTCCCAAAATGGAAGTTAGAGAGAACTACTAAATATTCGCAACTCGACTAAACTACTAGCGTCCTGCAAACAAGGCATAAGAAAAGTTGTACAACGTCAAGTTTTTACTAAAATGGCACATTGTAGATTTTACTAAATCGCGGAACTATGAAGTTTTAAACTTTTAACAAGTAACATAACGTAACATAACATCACGCCTTTTATCCTCGAAGGGGTAGGCAGAGGTGCACATTATGCTACTGTACAATGTAACATCCACTTTTCACTATTTATGTTATAAGTCCCATGTAATAGGGGGTGAGCTTATTGCCATATACCGGGCACAATTCCAGACTCCGTGCTACTACTGACAAGTTTTTTAAGACCCAGTAATACTTTGCCCGACCCGGGAATCAAACCCGAGACCCGTTGCCCGGCAGTTGCACTTGCGACCACTCGGCCAATGAGGCAGTCTATTTTAGGTTTAACAAGTATTGTTGTGTGATACATATTTTACTACCGCGAATATATTATATGTTATCATCATAGTATCCGACATCGAGCTGTAAATTGGAAAACACTTACGAAAATCACATTCGACCCTTCGTGTCCGGGCCACCACAATAAGCTGAGCTCCGGCCTTTTGCACAGCAACGCACCATGAACTTCTTTTTGTGTGTTCTTGTATTTTAATCTGCATGTTTGTCGTCTCTTAATGAAGGGTTATTAGAAAGAAATGAAAGAAATTTCATTTAACAATTAAAATTTCGCAGGCTGACCTGGAGCATTCACCTTAGAACCCTTTATTTATTCATGTTATACAGCTAACACACATAGCTGTTCGAAGAACATAAATTTACTGGTTAACGCGGCGAGCGTCATTCTATCACGATCTTCATAAATAAGTTCGCACTATGCTAGTATTTTATGCGAGCGAGGGAGGTGCTACTCGCCCGATACTAATTTACTCGGTACTCCAATAAAATATTAGCGTAGTGCGACATGGCCTTAATACTCGCCGCGTCGGGTTTGGTTGTCGGCTAATTGTATAGCGTCCTAGCGTGACTTGACCCGTATAACCTAGTTAATTAAATGTCTCACAATATCATAATTATTTCGTTTCAAAATTTCAACAACCACGTGTACTATTAAGGATAACTTATTTACATTCATCAGAATTTAAAGTAATAATAATGTCAATATTATGCATTATAATATTATTAATTAACAGAGTACTATAAATTATCAACCAACATATAAGGTGTTTATTTTAGAACACTGACAATACGAGTAAAATTATTTTACTATGTCGTTTGTCCTAACATCTACATTCCACATCTAACATAATTGAAAAATAGATTGTTTAAAAAACATGATTAGACGGTAGACACCTAACAAGAATACAATATGGAAAATACATAATAGAAGTGACCTGACTAATCGTTCTGTATCCCGTATAAAAATATACATAAACATTACATGACCTAAAAATAAATCAACAATCGGCAAGGATATCAGCAAATGGAGAAAAGTAGCTGTTGCATTTAATTTATACTGTGCAGTAAAGTAATTGTATAGTATTTATGTCGATGTCACAGTCAACTAGTTTAAAAACCATTCAATTAACGTCCTGGCCTGTTAAATAAATTATATCGCAATGATGGTGATTCGAATAGGGATGATGACAGGGTATGAAAATTAAAAATGTAAGTAATTATTAGTCTGTCAGTTAGGTAATAAAAACATATTAGACACGTATTTTTTATTTTGTTGTATAAAAAAAGGATACTTAGATATAACGAATCAAAGTTTAGGAGTGGGGGCTAAAACGTCATTTCTACGTATAACATGTACATAAAAGTGACGTCACGCGACATTTCAAATCAATAATATATCGTCAAAAGTATTCGATTCTGTAAAACAATAAAAAATACGTGTGTAATGTTTTAAAATAATCTACCAGACGAACATATAATTCGTCATCTACCCTATTATGTGCTAGTCGCAGTTATAACCGAACCTAATGAATCGTACCATTCTGGTTTCAATTATAATCCTTTCACCCTTTTACGACCTGACCGACAAAATTAAGTCATTTAATCAAACGGTTAAATCATTCAGGCTGTTTTTTCAAATAGATAATTAAGCTAGTTGGCTGCAACATACACATATAATAATACTTATAAAGAGGCTAGAGGGCGGAATATATTACTTAGTGACCAAAGGGATTTTATGTTCTAGTTTAAAGTTGCCGTTTCTGCAAAAAATTGTCTGTTATGACAAGAATTGTTGAATACATATTTTTTTAAAACACAGCTCTTTCAGGATTAAATTACATAGGTACACTTAACACTTAAGCCTCATCTTATATCTAAGTAAACAAATTGTCATTATTCATTTCCAAGCAGTCTAATTCCCTTGATAATTTTAAAGCATAAATTATTTTAATGTCTTTATAGGAAATTGTTTTAGTTTTTGTCTTTTATAATACCATCAAACTCTTTGGTTAACACCACTAACAACTTGACATCAATGAATTGTGCCCATTTTTTATTGATAGCAAATATAATCATCCTTCACAACTGTATACAGGCGAAAATAAAATAAAGTTAAAATAATAAATAAGTTCTTGAAAAATTCTTTAGCTTCTTATAAACCATGAAATTACACAATACCATCCTAATTACTTAACAAGCCCACTATACAGACCAAGCTTTGCTTTAGTGTACAACGAATATGCCTTACATCTAATGTGAATAGTTTCAATTTGTATTATTTCGAGACCAACGAAATGTTTCTCCTGTTTACACTTATAGGTTAAGTTTAAAATAAAAATGATGCAGATTGTTAACAATATAATGCTATTATTATATTGAGGAGATGATACACATTTGCTTAAGTTACATGTCATGAAAAATTGCTGCCTCTTTGACGGAATTGCTGTAACAGATTTGTTTCTGAGCTGCACAATATTTGAAAAGTAATAAACAAGGAAAGATAAGTGTCTTGAATCTTTTAACTATACCTACATGCTAAGACCACGTCAAGATCTTTTAAAGTGTATCAAAGGACACACTAATCGCGTATATAGAAGTAATCGCATCGCTATTCTAATATTAATTACTAATAAATAATAACTGTTAACTAATAACGTACTCGGGGATAAATTACACGAGTCAATAAAAATTGACGGTATAGAAAGATTTACTATTTTAAAGTGTACCATCTCCTGAACATGTGTTATTAGTATTTGAAAACTATCAACTTCAATGTAGAAGTTATTCTCAATACATACTTGTTGGTGGTATCAGTCGGCGATGACGTCACACGCCCTCGTATCAACGTCCACTTCGTTTGTTCCTGCTGCCTGTTCCTCTATAACGGACTCGGTTCGCTCTATACCCAGAGCGGCCGTTTCGTTCGATTTTTCTCTGCAACATTTTATACTGATGTATAATCGATCATAAGATTGCTAAACTTAGAATAGTCTTTTTTATGTGATAAACCGATAAACCAGCAGACGGATCACCTGATGGTAAGCAATCGGCGTCGCCCATGGACGGTTGAAACACCAGAGGCGTTAGAAGTGCGTTACCGGCCTTTTAGGATTTGGGGATTGAGGAGACTGGGAAGGGGGGTAATTCTGCCTCCGGTAACCTCACTCACAAAACTCTGGTGACGAAAAGCATTGTTTCCCGTCGGTACATGTACCTACACACTATGCATCAAGCTATGCAAAACCAGTACAAATTGACTGTTTATTGTGCGGAAATATGGTTGTGTGAACATCATCACATAACCTTTGCTTGGCTTTGTATAGCTCTATGGGTAGCCGTGTAAACTACTATATGTACAGTCGGCATAGTTATTTACTATGTAGGTAATAAAATAAAGATTGACTCATTCCACTCAACCCAACCACTGAGCCAACCCTGCAGTCAATCTAAGAGCACCTGGGAGAAATAATTTTAAGGTGAAATGGGATCACCAGAATCTTAAGATTATCATACTATAGTATGTAAGTTTATAGTATGGGAGTAGAAATGAGCAATTTTTGGAAAATGGATAAATACTGAGTAAATACTAAAACTTTTTGGATAGATACTCGAGTAAAAACGAAGAGTATTTATTTTATCCGAAAAATCGGTCATAATCCACGTGGGAGTGTATATTATGGGACTCACGAGTGATCCCTGTGCGTTACAGGTACTGCGGCGGGCGGGTCGCGGGCGCCGCTCAGTGACAGAGACTGCGGTCGACGTAACCACGTGCAGCGTTCTTCCTGTATATTGTATAAAAAACATCAATAGCTTAGTTTCCTAAATTTTATTTTAAAGTTCGTCTGGTTGATTAATTTAAAACATTAGACACGTATTTTTTCTTTTCTCACAAAATTAAATACTTTCGACGATATATTAATCTGAAATATCGTGTGACGTCACGAAGTACTACATTTTACGTAAATAACTCCATTTTATCAAGTATTTTAACTTTATATGAGAAAATAAAAAAAATCGTGTCTAATATTTTTTGAGAAAATAAAAAAATCGTGTCTAATATTTTTTCATTATCTAACTGACGGACTAATTACATTTTTAATTTTCATTCCCTGGCCACTACCCTATTGATGACCTTAGAATAAGAAGTTTATTTCAGAAAAATTATTACGGTTAGGTTGCGCCCTAGACGTCACACTAAGTTACGTTACGTTAAATTCCCTGTACCGTGAGATTCATGCTTCTTAGCTCCGGATACAAAATCAGATTTCATTAAATTAACTACTTTGATGTATTATCATCACTGCGAAGAAATAGTATTGCTGAACGAATGAAAATTAATCTTTAAAGTTAAGGTTGTTATAATACCCATATTTGGTCGGTATAGAGATCTCAGTTTGGTTCCCAACAGTTTACCCTCCGTGCCAGTATAACTAACCTAACCTAACCGGATCCTAACGTTACACAGTTCATCTGTAAATCCCGTTTTAACTTGAAACTTGTAGAACTTTCAACTAATTACAAGTGAGTTTGTTCCGGCATTAATATAAGAGAAACAAGTGAATTTATTAACTAAAAATCGCGGGTTACTCACGCGAAGCGTGAAAACTCACAACAGTAGGCTGCGCGACATCGCCGAGACCGCGCACGCTGCTCATGAGGAAGAACCCCTCTGTGGTTCGAAATTAGTAGAGCTTTTCTCAGTATATTCACGTGAGTAACCCTCGATTTTTAGTTAATAAATTCACTTGTTTCACTTGTGTTAAGTGATAAGATAATGGAACGAGAAAAGCTCACCTGCGGTGTGATTACTGCCGTGATATCTGTTTGGGTGCCAACCGGCTCTGCATGGTTTTTGCTCGAAACTGCCTTCAACACCTCCTGCATACAGCCCTGAAGTTCTGCCACCTAGTAACAGTAATTAAGTACTGTTATTTTCAATATATAATGCAATAATTACGTCATTGTTAAATTCACTAGCTAGTGAAGCACACTGCTTATATTTCATAAACCAAAGAAGTACATAAATAGGTTTCTACTCTAGAAAGTGGCCAGCTTGCCACATAAAACATATACCTATAACATAAAAACATATACCTATAACAGTACACAATGTAACGAAGCGCCCTCAGGCAACGAGCATGCATTAAGAGATTGATGAACGTAGATGAAGCGAAAGAGGTATGCACGAATCCTGTCATTGCGTTCTATTGTCTCTGCCTACCTCAATGGGAGGCAGGCGTGACGATATGCATACATGTATGAATGTATATGACGTATGTACCTATGTGTGTGAAGGAATCGGGTTATCGCGATTTATAGTGATAAATATTCAATATAGTCGATTACATACTTAATAATACCTTCGTTAAAATTGGTAATAATTGCTGAATACAGTGCATACCTGTGCTTGGAGGCTGAAACATGTCTCTGATAACTGACGCAATGCATCTGTGTTATCATCGGACTCCGATAATCGCTGCTTCTGGTTGTCTGGAAGAAAATATTGAAACATCCCAATTTAAAACATTTTTAATTTCTTTATATTATAATTAGGTCATAATATTTATGTGTACAAACTCACCAGTTGCCTGTAGAGTAGAGACTTTCTTCCACAACGCGTTAATAGCTTGCATCTGAAGCTGTTGAATTTTTCGCTCAGACTCCAACGCGGCTTTCGTAGCCTCCATGTCGCATGTCAACCTCCTAGTATTATAATATACACATTATACAGTGTACAGGATTATTTTATACATAATAACGACCTCGCAGGATTGTATTAGATACCAGTACCATAAAGAACGACTATGCATGGATACCAACAGAACGGATAATCGCTTATATCAAGATTGATATATTTGTGGGAGAGCCAATCTTCGGCACGCATGGGCCGGGTCGACCGGAGTAATACCACGGCCTTACAGAGAACCAACGTGAAAGAACGCTTCCGTTGTGTTTCGTTATGTGAGTGAGGCTACCGGAAACCCAATTAGCCTCCGGGCCACTTCCCCAGTCTCCCCAATCCCCGAATCTCACACATCAACATCACATTCCCAATTCCCAAAAGGTCAGTACCGCACTTGTAACGCCTTTGGTGTTTCAGGATGGACACTTATTGCTTACCATCAGGTTATCCGTCTGCTCGTTTACCGGTTAATCCCATAACAAAAAAGAAAAGAAAAATTTTAAAAAGACAATATGGTAATATTACTGCTAAATTACCGCAGTAAGCCATGACAGGGAATATTCGTTAATAATAATATTTGCGTAATTGGTATGGTAGTATTACTTACTGTATATGTTGTCGAGCCCGCGCCGCTTGTATGGCGTGCAGTATCCTAAGCGTGTCCTTATTCAAGTTTCTACTTCTGTAGCCCCTCCACATTTTCTGTATGGTGACGGCGGCCATTGACTCCACACTCATCTTCTTCTGCCGTCGTTGGTTCGAGGGTAACTTCATCATATCCGCGCCGAGTTGCTCTGAGTCATTTGTGATCCCATTAAGCTTCTTTTCCTCATTCTTCACTTCTACTTTTGATAAACTGCCTTTTCTTTGCTCCATTCTAGTTTTAAGCTTTGGTGATGAAGTAGCACTCTTTGGTAATTTCGGGGACCCTTTCATGTTTTTCGCGTGCCTTGGTTTGTCTTCGTGGATACTACTGTTGCTCGACTGGGACGAAGTGTTGGAAACACTATGCACGGAGTTGTTTGTCTTTGGTATGGATCTTTGGATATCGTAAATCGGGTCCTGGTAGTCGGGACTCATAAGAGATTCAGGTACAGGCACCATTTTCGATGCAGCTTCTAACGAATGATTCACTGGCTTTGGTTGCGGTATTTCTGTGAACAAAGTTAGTTTGTTAGTCTAGAATAGAATCCATATAATAAATTGGTATGTTATGCTGAATATACCTTGAACTTTTTCTTTTTCCTTTTCCCTAGTGCTGTCTCTTTTATCCGCTGAGTACATCATAGAGGGGGAGTCGAAGCTCTGGCTCATGGCGGTGGGAATGCCGGACAGGTCTCCACAGAGTGAGGAAGACATCTGATGTGAAGGAGACGAGGACTTGGTCAAAGCTGCATGGTAACTTGAAGTCAGCCGGTCGGGCGATCGACCCATGTGCCGCGGCGTGGATATCCGAGCTGGAAGTAATTTATACAGTTGATTAAATATCAAGCCTATTAACTTTGCTATAAAAGTTAATAAATGTAATCATCAATTCGAGAATCAAGTTAATTATTTAAAACTTTAGACTAATAGAATCAAGTTACAATACTTATAATTCTCGTTCACAGTTCACACATTCCTCAAATACATAACTTTCAATAAAAACGTGTCAATTAAAATTTCAAAAATTCTCTACATTACATACTCTTTTGATGAATTTTTATTAACGTATTAAAGTATTTGAGATCGAAACTTTTTTAATGATAAGACCGGCAGACTGGCAGGCGGATCACCAGATGGTAAGCAATCGACGCCGCCCATGGACAATTACGAGTGCGTTGCCGGCGATTTACGGACACGGGATTTGGAGATCAGAGGCGAACTGGAGAAGAACTGGCCCTCTGGCAGACTCACTTACACGGTGAAATACAACACAAGCGTTATTCCACGCCGATTTTCTGTGAGACCGTAATACAAGTCCAGTCAAGCCAGCCCATTGGTACAGAGATTTACAGGACAGAAAAAGGTAAAGAGTGATGATGATATGACCAGGTAAGTTATATTCCTAAGATAAAATAAATAAATTATTGATACGTGATGAGAAACGTTGTCGAGAGGATACGTAAACTAAGATTATTAGATATATTATAGTTTGAATAAAATGAAATAAAATGAGATATATATCCCAGGTTTGCATGTATTACATAAGTACATATATAGTAAATAAGTTATTAAGTATAACTATCGTGAGACATACTAAATTAACTATAAATCGCGTGTTACTCACGTGAATATACTGAGAAAAGCTCTACTAGTTTCGAACCACAGAGGGGTTCTTCCGTATGAGCAACGTGCGTGGTGGCGGCGATGTCGCGCAGCCTACTTTTCATTTTCACGTGAGTATACCGCGATTTTAAGTTAATTAAATAAATAAGCACTTACATTGCATTCTCGGAGACTGCAACTTTGGCTTCAACGGACTGTGTGTTTGTGTGTCTTTCAACTGCTGCTGATGATGCTGCGCCTGCGTACAATATACATAGTTACATTTGGCCGAGATTACATCAGCTAAATAATACATAACATCACGCCTTTTATCTTCGAAGGTTGTCCTTAAGGTTACTTTCTTTTTTGATCACTTTGGCTGGATTTTAGTGTTACATTGTTCTCGCACAATCCATTCAGCAAAACTATGTAACTAGTAAATTGTATTGTGAACCTGATTGAAAAAGAGTAACCTATGGAGTTTCTTGCTCGTTCTTCTCCATAGGAATCTACACCTTGGAATGAGCAAATAGCTTCACTTCTTATTATTTTTTGTTGACGTTCAAAAGTGCCATTCTGGCCTAATTGAAATAAATGATTTTGACTTTGACTTTGAAGTGATAGGCAGGGGTGCACATTACGGCAATTAATGCCACTGTACAATGTAACACCCACTTTTCACTATTTATGTTATGAGTCTCATATAATAGGGGGTGAGCCCATTGCCAATATTTCAATGTTTTTCTGAAGACTAGTTTTTAGAATTAAGCTATGTATATTTGCCATCTAACCTAATTTACAAAACGTAAGAAATGACGTGTGATATTGTTTCAGTTATTGAACCTTACTTTGCTTAATATAAGGCGTAGTTTCCTCTGGTCTTCTGTTTCCAAGGCGTCGGCGGTGAGAGGGCAGGTAGACGCCAGATATTCACACAACTCTTGGTGTTGGCCCGCGTGGTAGTGTCGCCCCTTGCCTTGACTGTACAACCACTCCGCTTTTAGACTGAAAAAGATTATGAATTTTAATTGCTTTGTTAGTCTAAGAAAATTTTAATAAAAAAATAAACCATAACTAATAACTATTCGTAATTTAAAAAGCAAATTCTTTAAAGATCTATTTGGACTTGGACTGAAAACTACATTTCAATCACACCAATGTTGGTCCTTCAATTGCGCTGAAACTATTCAACGAATTTTGATGAAATTTGGTATACAGGCAGGGTATGGGCTGACTTAGGTAATAGGATTAATTTTTATCCCGATTAAACGCAGGAATCATAAACTACGCGGACGAAGTCACGGGCAACAGCTAGTAAGAGATTGTTTTACAAAAACTTAATTGACCTTAATTAACCTTAGATAAAATATTACCTTTCTATAGCGCTGACGACAAAGCCATCAATAGACTTCACACTCATTATCCAGTTGAGAACAAATGGTCTGTAATCAAATCCTCTGTTTGGCGACTTAAGGATCGTACAATATTTAATTTATTTAAAGGTAAATTAGCACTTAGTGGTGTAGTCACCAATACGATTGTTGAGGCACCTGTCTCAACATCGACGGGCGCGCCCGCGCGCCAGCGGCAGTGGACGAGGGACGCGGGGGGGCTGCGGCTCGCCGGCCGGTCTACAGCCGAGCCCGCAGCCCGCGACCCCGCGTCGCGCCAGTCAGCGGTTGCACGCCTATACGCACGGCTGCGCTTATGTACGCATTTTTTTTACTTGTTGCCATATTCCGTATCTTGTTATTTATCTTGTTATTCCGTTCTTATTTAATTCATTACAATTTATATACAGTCCACTCGCATTTTTATTTAATCGCAACGACAAGGGCTATCGTCGCGTTTAACGATACTGAATACCCTTCATCATATTTATATAAATTGTGAATAAAAAACCCCGCGACCCCGGCAGTTTCTATAGACTCTATAGTAGAGTACCAATGGTATAAGAGCCTTTAAGGTAACAGAGAGTAACGGAGGCCCAATTACACCACTCCCCAATCATCCCCAAAAGGCTGGTAACGCATTTATAACACCTCTGGTGGTTCAGGTGTCCATTGGCGGCTCTGATTGCTTGTCATCAGGTAGTCCAATCCGTCTGCTCGTTTACCGGTTTATTCCATAAAGAAACACGTTTCATTGACAAAAAGGATACAATTTGTCTTTACCAGCCATGGCGACACATGGATTGCCTTGTATTGAGAAGCTCTCCAGTTTGTTCAAATGTACCAAGTGGCTGATCTCATTCAAATCCTGGATGCTATTGTGAGCGAGCCCCAGGTGCTCCAAGTGCGATGGAAGGTAGCGATCACATTGCCGCAGATCTGATATCCTGTTTCTTTCTAGATTTAAGTGCTGAAAAAAATAATTATATTACAGTAAATTATAATTATAAATGATATCAAGGGCCTAATTGACAATTACTGGAGAGCCGCTATCTACTAGATAAATCTATACTATTACACAAAACTGAAGAATTTGTTTGTTTGAACGCGCTAATTTCAGGAAGTACTGGTCCGATTTGAAAATTTATTAAGGCTAATAAACATCACGCTACGATCAATAAGAGTCCCGCAGAGCGGGTGAAACCGCGCGAAAGTAGCTAGTTAGAATTGAGACTGTTATATACTTGTATGAATGAACTTTTACATGTTTACTACGTCGGCTACTTGTGTGAAGGTGGTAAACCGACGCCAATTACTTTATTTATATTATTACTAGCTTTTAACCGCGGCTCCGCTCGCGTCACAAAAGTATAAAAAGCCAATGTGACATATACCAATGTACACAGCGCCATCTATACCAATATTTTTGTTTTCCCTCGGGAATATCAAATTTTCACGGGATAAAAAGTACCCTATTATTTAATCCGCACTTCTAACTTTACATCTGCAAAAATTCAAAGCAATCGGTTTAGTAGTTACGGCGTGAAAGCGGAACAAACAAACAAACTCACTTTCCGATTCATAATATTAGTAAGGATGTTAAATTGGTCTTTCTGATACGTAACATGAAATCATCCCTGTCTCGTTGGCTAAGTGGTCGCAAATGCGAGTGCCGGGCAAGAGGTCTCGGGGTCGATTCCCGGATAAGGCAAAGTACTACTTGTCTTTTTTTTTAAATTCTCAGTGGTAGCACGGACCCTGGAAACGTGCCCAGTATATGACAATAGGCTCACCCCCTATTACATGGACCTCATAAAATAAAATAGTGAAAAGTGGGTGTTACATGGTAGGTACAGTGGCATTAAGTGCCGTAATGTGCACCTCTGCCTACCCCTTCGGGGATAAAAGGCGTGATGTTATGTCAATCTGATACACTCACCTTCAAACTCTTCAAGTAAGATATATCAGCTATAAAAGAAATTTGATTGTTGGACAAATCCAAGTGTTCCAAGTGCATATTGTGATTCAAATGTTCTATTGATTTTATATTGTTTCCTGAAATAAAATTAAAGGGTTAGCTTAAAGCGAAAATATTATAATAATAATGAAATGTTAAACCAACTGATAAAATAATAAATCTAAGGGCCTGTTAACAATATCTGGTTAGCCACCATCTACCTACCACATAAAATTGAATTAAGAATGTAAGTTGAATGAACTACCTGTCACATAAGTTTATCAGATACTTATAAGGAGGTGGTGAAACCGTCTCTAAATGTATGTATATATAAAAATTAATCCCTTTTTCCCTTGGGCACGGCAACGCGCCACGGCACGCGTGAATAGCTGGACAAATTCTTTTTTGTTGTATTTGTTAATATTAGTAGATGGTTCTAAAGACAGAAAAAATCCTGAAAATCCTACGGGAACGAGAGAAAACGGGATTGCGCGTACGAATTCGCGGGCAGAAGCTAGTTAGTATATAAAAAATAAATCATATACATATATATATATATGTAAAACTGGTGTAAATTATTGAAAATCATCCCCTAAATTTGTTCATACAAAAGTAGTCTCTAAACATTGGAAATAAGGTCTATAATGTAGTTAGTGGAGAAAGATCAGCAGTGACCGCTTGGGGATACACGGGTATATATTATAAGCCCCGCCTAACTAGAATAAGGAACTTAGAATTTACATATTAAAATTAGTTATTATTACAAGAAATGCGACATTAGTCCTTTTCTTTCCATACTTTTTCCTATTTATTTTCTTATCATCTTACATAATCATATCACACAGTTAGGATGTATTAAATAAAATCAAGGCGTGATTACTTCAATGACAATAAACATTTAACACCTTTGCATGATCTCATAATATAAAGCCCAGACTTTATCTGTGATGATCTCATTGGATGTCTTAAAAATACCTAAATGCATGTCATCAATCTCAATCTCATGATCAAGTAGAAAAGTATGAATGAAGATGATAGGCTTGAAAAAAAGATTCAAGTTAATCATTATTAATATCTATCTTTATCCTGAAACCTACATAAGTAAAAAAAAATTCATAATCAATTATGTTATTTCTCTTTTTATCATTATTTAAATTGTTCTTTTATGTATTTGCAAAATGATTTTTTGTGTGATACCACTTGGAAGCTTAGATTTAGGTATATTGCAATGTAATTGCAGACACAATGTAAATTGTTTAATAAATAAATGAAATTAACTCGTCGAGTACCGTCATTATAGACACAATTATAGAACAATAGATTGCGGTCACCGGTGACCGCTTGGTGTTTGACAGTTTAAATATTGTTTTAAGTAAATTTTTTTCTTATATCTAGTTCACATTTTAGTGTGAAATAAAGTTTAATCTATGAATCTTTTTTCTTAACAAATAAGGATATAATTGCTGTATAAAATACCCAAGTGGTCACTGATGACCACTTTCCACTTAATCCATTATAGACCATATTTCCGATGATTAGAAATTGCTTTTGTATGAATAAATGTTGTGGTTTTTTGTAATGGTGGATTTAGAAGTTAATTTATGTGGCTGATAATATATACTGTGAACTACTATGTTTAAAAGTTGTTATTTGTATTTAAACCTGTCTTAACATAGGTATTATAAAATGACAACTAGTTATACTGAATGACTATTCTGTCTGTCACCTACATTGATTTTCTTTGTCAATATGAAACAGAGATTCCATACCATATTAGTGAAACTAGGAATATTTAACATAGCATAAATAAGACATGAGTGAAATATATTTCAATTCATTATTGACTTATTTACAATTTTACACCATTAACTTGGTAAATGTTGGCTTTCAGTTAGACATTACACACACATACATTACATACACAGTGAGCGAATGTTGAAGTTGTTGTTAATTTGTGTAATAACTAGCTAGTCGTACTAATCAATACATAGTATAAAACAAAGTCGCTTTCGCTGTATGTCCGTATGTATGCTTAGATCTTTAAAACTACGCAACGGATTTTGATGCGGTTTTTTGTAATAGATAGAGTGATTTTTAAGGAAGGTTTGTATGTATAATACATGCATATTGCACCCGTGCGAGGCCGGGGCGGGTCGCTAGTCTATATATATAAAAATGAAACTCGTTTCCCATTGTCACACCATAACTTGAGAACGGCTACACCAATTTGGCAGATCTTTCTTTTGTTGTGTTTGTTATTGTCTGGAGAAGGAAGAAAATCCATCCCTACGGGAACGAGAGAAAACGGGACTGCGCGTACGAAGTAACGGGCAAAAGCTAGTATTAGTTATAAGTTTATGAGAATATACAGGTCTATTTTTGTTACTCGTTCACAAAAAACTAGATTATAGTCTATACCAGATTATAGTATATACTAATACCAGGAGTAATTTTTCTCCTGTGAATGTTGGATAAGCAGTGTTCAGTTAATTAATATTAGATAGATCATAAAACCTATAGTTTAAATCTATAGCTCAAATATTCACTAGTAAGAGTAATGTTGTATGATGAAGATCCAAAACGAGGCAGGTAGTGACACAAGTACTCAAGCAATTTATATCATTTTTATAGGTAGATAAGCACTAATCAAAACTTATATGGAAATGTATTTTAAAACTCCATGTTTAAATGTATTTTGGTCATTAATCATTTTTAACTTTATTCAATAAACAATTATAAGTTCTATCTGTGTATGTTTAGATGTCTATATGCCTTGAGAAAGCAAAAAATAATGAGATGAACAAACGTACCTGCAAGCTTCAGCACTTTTAAATAAATCAGATCTTTGAGGCCCTCTATTTGCAGTATGCCGTTGTTATTCAAAGCTAGGATTCGAATGTTCGTCAACCGAGATACGCCATGCATGCGTAATAAGAAATTGTTGCAAATTGATAGCTAGAAAACAAAAACAATGTCATTGATTGTTTATGTCTGATCTTTAAAAGTCTACAATAAATTATCATGCATAACTAAAATGATTTCTTCACTAAATATTACATCGTTAAATGTTATTTTAACGCAAAATTTTAAAATACGTAAATATAAATATTAACAATATGTATTTTGTAGTGGACATAAAAGTTAGGTATCTTACGTTTTCGACACGATTATATGTGTCAATATTATCTAGTCTTTGCAACTCATTTTGGTCGAGGATTAAATTAATAATCGTCTTGGATTCCTCTGCGGGCGCTTTCTCTATTTTCTTCAACCCACGCCTCGAAAGGTCGACGGTTTCATTTTTTGCTTCATCTACAAACAAATAATTAGAGCGAACAACTGTGCTGGTATAATTTCTATTTCTCAATTTGCTATACTTACCCATTTTCAAACTAATAGGACATCTTAATTTAAATATTATTAGAAAAGATTCAAGTAAAGCAAATTCCCAACAAAATCAACATTCGTAAATGGACGTTCACAACCTGTATTATTTCAAATCCAAGCAAATATCCAAAGAACTCACTCTTCAATCTAATTACAACTTGTAAAAATATGATGACTTAATATTTTATAAAATCTTATTATCTTTTATATTTGATGATTTTTGTAAAGCAGAATAAAAATAATTAAAAATTTATTTTACGCCACGCCTATAACTCTGAATAGAGGTCATGGTTTTCGAACGTAACCCAAACGAACCAGTTGACGTGAATAGTGATGTTCCTTACTGAGTAAAGTTATTCATTATTCGAATAAATATATAGATAAGTTTACAATATGCAAGCGTCATTAGTTTTAAAAAATATTGCTTTATATTATGGAGGTGAATATTATTCACATTATAAGTAAAAGGCTACGATGAAAAAGCAAATACTTACTGTTATTTTCGAATAAAAAGACGCAAATGATTTAATACTTCTATTCTAAGAATCGTATCATTCTATAATAAGAAATTAAATCATCAGATTAAAAATGACTATTTAAGTACTGATTAAATGAAGAACAAAGATAATAAGTGGGACTAGAAGTTGTTTATTTTTATAAATAGTAATAGATTATAGTTTGGTAATTGGTTTAAAAGTTTACACAGCACAGCACTACTTCGCGGTGGCGGCGGGTTTTGTTGAGGTTAGTGAAATAATTACGAAAAAATGTTTATATCTATGTTTTTAGCTAAAACAATTAATAAACAAGCTTTAGATACAATCAGAGAAATCTGATACATCTTTGCAATACGTTAAAACACTACCGTTCATTCAATTCGATGATAATATATAGGACGCGTTAGTTGACATTTTTCTGTGCTAAGTTTGTTTCGTCTGATAAAGTTATCATTATGAATATTTCCAATAGGAACAATGTTCTAGTATATTTTTTTGTGTAATGTGATAATATTTACTTGACATTTTATGGTTTCAAAGTTACTACATTATACTTTTCTATTTATAGCCAATTCACATGTAACCTCTTTCCATTTAGGCGGGAGAATGGTGTTGGCAAAGGGCCTGAGGCCACTACAGGTGGTCTCTGTGATATTATTCGTGAGACTTTTGTCGGTATTCCTGGTTCAAACGTGGTATGTGCCTGATGAGTACTGGCAAACTTTGGAAGTGGCACATAAACAAGTCTTTGGCTATGGAGCATTGACCTGGGAATGGCAGCAAGGCATCAGGAGCTACCTGTACCCAAGTATAGTAGCAGGACTTTACACCCTTCTGAAGTACACTGGACTGGACTATCCTGAGGCTCTGGTAAGCATATGTAACTTACAATACATTTATAGAAACCTATAGGCTGGATTGAAAATTGTCACCATGACCAAGCAAAAGATATCAATCAGTCATTAAATTGAACACTCATGAAAAACCGTAGTGACTAAGTACAATAAAAAATACATTATTGGAATATTTAAAAATAGTAAATTGATTCTTTTGTTGATTTCTTACTTATCTATTACAATGTACTTATAGTCACACATTTGCCAGGTATGGATACATTATAAAGATTACAAATTTTTGTAAATCACAACCACTGGACCTGAGACAGTTGTATGATTGTAAGCTTATACTGTATTCGTAACACGAGTAAGCAAATTATATTTGTAATACAATATACACCTAGTTTCATGGTAACATTGTTACTTATGTCATTGATAATATGTCTATTTTCTATATTATTTCATTGTTTGATAGGTGACAGAAACGTACAGCAAATCAAAGACCTCCATGCCCTAGAATGTATCTACATTGTAATAAAGTGTGATACATACTATGTTAGCAACCCTTGAAAAAATAATTTGATGAAAAATCTTTTATAGATTCTCCTGCCTCGCATCCTGCAAGCCATTATCAGTACTGCGGCTGATTACAGTTTCTACAAATGGACTGGCAATCGAAAATGGGCTTTGTTTCTGATACTGACATCATGGTTCTGGTTCTATACCTCCGGTAGAACTTTACTGCAGACATTAGAAACTTCTCTTGTTGCCATCGCTTTGTCTGAGTTCCCATTCAAAGGTGGAAAATTGGGACACTATGAACAAGGTAAATCTTATTAGCGAATTAACAAACATTTACTGATACAGAGAGAGTCACAAAAAATGGAACTTATTCTTTAGATGTTTACGGCCTTTAATTTAAGTTATCAAAACAACATTTTCCTTATGCACTACATGAATACATCATATTTTATCAGACCAATGAATACCCTGAACCTTTTTATCCTGTTCTGTTTCCTTCTTACGAACAGTATAAAGAAGTTTAGTTTAAGTCTCTTATATCTTTAAATTCTAAATGTTTAATTCAACCTTTGATTAAAGTTGATTTGAGTTCCCATCTGCTCAGTAACAGAAAACGTATTTCTAAAGTTTTTTTTTAATTTTATACAGAAAGTCCAAAGTGGATATGGCTGGCAGTATTGTGCGTGTTCTTGCGTCCGACATCAGCACCACTGTGGGCGGTACTTGGTGCTTACAACTTGCTAACCACCAACCAGAGCCGAATGAAGCTTGTTCTTCGCACATACGTGCCTATTGCGTAAGTCATTTAACCTAAAGTAGCATAAAGACAACCTTAAATAGAAGAAAGAAAGATAAGAAGAAAAGAATGTGAAGAAGAACTAACTAAACATTCCTAGCCTGAAGCTATGTTAATTATATCCTACTAAATGTGTGATGCACAATTAGTTGTTCTGGGCTTGGGTATTGTGTGGAATTTGTCATTGTCACGTTTGTAAACATACCCACGACAAAGGAGAATATATTAGTTTGAGGCGACGCAACTTTTTAATAATTACTACTACTTATTACATTAAACTTATTATTTATCCTGATAAGTGTCTAATGAAAATTGTTGTTTTAGATTGATCTGCGGTAGCGCCCTCGTAGCCCTGGACTCGTACTATTACGGCCGCCTTATCGTTACTCCTTGGGAGTTCTTTAGGTTCAATGTACTGCACGACATCGCATCTTTCTACGGACAACATCCATGGTGAGAATTTGATGATTGTCATGTTTAAGCATGTATGTCACTGATACTTACATATGCTGTATCGTAGGTCGAATGCGACCAATATCTCGGGTCAGGCATATTGTGCATTATTATTTTTCATTTTGTTATATTCGAAAATTTCTCAGTAATACTATTGGGTCTGGAATTGTGCCCCACTATGCAGTCGACATTTTAATGCATGGGATTTATAATTCAGGGATAAAAGGCATAAACATTCAGTAAAAAGAACATAGGCTAATTTTAAAAAGTTCAACATGAGACAAATAAATAAACCAGTTCAGTTACCACTTGAGGTCATTGACTTGCAATTATGATAACCAGTGACATCTGGCAACAATAGGATTAAAATTATTAATGTTTTATGGTAATTATTACCATGTGTTTTTGAAACTTTAGTGTAAATTAAATTACTGTACATTTTCTCGTATATATGTATAGATTCCTATTAAATTAGATTGCTTCTATATTTTTATTGTTTTCCAGGCACTGGTACTTAACTCAAGGTATTCCAGCCGTTTTGGGTATCAACGTGATTCCTGTACTGTGGGCCACTGTCAAAATATTGCGACAACCAAAGGAGAACAAAATCGGAAGCCTGCTTCTAACCGCCGTCGCTTTATACGTAGCTGTATACAGGTATGTTACTTATTCCAATGCATTTAAGGTGGTTTCGCTGCAGAAAGTAATGTCAGCTAATTAAACTGGTAATATTAAATGCAGTTGGAATTTTTTTATAATTATATTTGTGGAGTGAACAATATGCATCAGTCTATTTAAGTAAATTAGTCACATACAATTTACTGACTTCTACAGTACTTAAAAAGTATTCAATTAATCACCCGTATTTATTGGTTACAGCTTCATTCCACACAAAGAGTTCAGATTTGTGTTGCCGCTGCTACCGATATTCCTGTATTTGGCTCAAGACGTGATTGTACCATGGAGCAGGAAGGCTAAGAAGTAAGTGGTCACTTCTCTATTATTTAAACAAATCAATGCTATCCAATAGCACAACACGGCTCGATTTTCAGCTCCTTGCGTCCAACTAAACCCAGCTAAACAACGGATATCGTCACTCCACCCGTAAGGTGACTTACGGGCCCAAGAATAGGGCTCATAATCCATAATATAATCCTCAAAGTAGTAATCCCCAAAAGAACGCCTTCCGTGTTCCAGGTGTCCATGGACAACGCCGATTGCTTACCATCAGGTGTTTCGACTGCTCGTTTACTGGCTAGGCACAATTTTAATATCGGAATTTATATTTGCCAATGGTCATACTCAACTCCCCACAAATATTCTTCTACCAATTTTTGACTATTTTGGTACCTATTTCTAATGAAGATGAATGTATTTGGTCTAGATTCCACCTGTACTTGTTGGCCGGCTCCATCCTGGTGGGTAACGCGGTGCCGGCGCTGTACTTCGGCGTGGTGCACCAGGCGGGCCCGCTGCAGGCCATGCCGGCGCTGCGCCAGGCCGCCACCAACAGGACCTCTATCACCTTCCTCATGCCGTGCCACTCTACGCCTCTCTACAGGTAGATATTGTATACAATGTATTTATTTATAACAAACTAAGACTCAGTTTAACCTTTGTACTTGCAATTTAAGTCTTATTTTTCTTTAGCCGTCTTATTTGTTTGTACAGTGGAAGTAAAAACAACTATATTTGTACAAAAGGTCAAGGTAAAAATTTCATGAGAATTAAAGGAAATCCTCTCTTAGTGGTTACTTTCAACTTGCTATATCCATTAGTTGCGGCTGTTTGTTCTCTATCTGTCATTCAGTCAAGTAACAGAAGAGTTTCTATGAGTTTTTAATTACAATAAATTATACAGTTTCTCATGCAGAGTTATTAATGATGTATGAAAACAAGTAAAAATACCGTGTATTTGTGTTATGCCAGTCACCTGCACCTGAACATAACGACGCGCTACCTGAGCTGCGAGCCCCCCTTGAATGCGTCGGGCACGACGTACGAAGCGGAGACATTCTTCAACAACCCGCAGCGGTGGTGGCGACAGGAAACTGCACTGAGACAGGCGCCCGACCTGCTCGTACTCTACGACCGACTCAAGGGACGCATCGAATCAATTCTCGCCGGATACAACTTGTTGCATGAGATCCCCCACACACAGGTCTCTATCAAATTAAATACATTTTACTTCTGCATTTTTTAAACATCTGCTCCGGCTGCGATGAACGAGAAACTTACAATTGTCTTTGTATTCTTTCCCAGTTCCCTGAAGGCGAGGTCAGCGAAAACTTGTTGATATACCAAAAAGCGAAAACTCCATCCAAAGTAGCTGCCGATGACGTCGTCTAACCTCCCACGGACATCACCCCGTGTTCATGTTAGTAGACCCAATTCTATAACGACGTAGTTACGACAAATCCTACACACTGTTATGAATCTTATTGGTAAACGAACAAGGATCATAACAGTGCAAGGCCGGTTATATGCATAGACTGTTTTCAATGATCGTAAAGAATCATGTGAAGTTTTAAAGACGAAGTATTGACGTGCCAAAATCCATGTATCAGATTTTTGATAACTTGGAAATTGTGCCATTGAGGCATTAACGTGTTGCAACAAGTTTCCCTGGATCTGTTGCATCAACGAGAAGATTGTCATCGCCCATGATTTAAAAAAAAATCCGGGTACAGTGTAAAGAAGTTTTTATAGCTTCGTCAGCAAGTCTATGCTTATAAACAGTAGTTGGTATATAAAAAAGAACCTCTAACGATGCTATCGCAAAACATTAAATTCGAAATTTAGACGACTCACGATTTTCAATATTATAATTTTATTGACTCGAATTATAATTCGGATATAAGTAATTAATTGGATTTTGGTATTAAATTAAATTTTAATTATTATTTTACTATGGGATTGTTACCCATAAAATGTGTTCGGAGTAGAAAATTTACAATTTATAATGTATTTTATACGTAATTGTAAACTTATACAAATTATATAATAGTATATTGTACATGAATAGTTTATACTATAGCACTAATTCCACAACCATATTCATTAATAAATAAAACACATTTTCTAACAAAAAACACAAACAGATGATATGACTACTTTACGTACATAATTATGACATGTAAGATTATTTAAGCTTATATGATTTACATTATATAAGTATTTTATAATTTTTCGGATAAAGAAAACACTTAATAAGCATTGACAAATTTTTACGAAGGAGAAAACAAGTCGAAAGTATTAATTTCTTCATAATTATTCGTTCGAACACAATAAAACTCCACATTCCTTTGCGTCGTAATGTCTATTATGATTATAAAGGCGTACATTTTGTTTTACATACTGAGTATGGATATATTGTAGTCATATCAAAATAGTTGTATCAATTAATTATGACATCTCGATATGGTATTGTATCCTGTCTCCAATCCCAATTTCCAAAAGCCAGCGAGTGTTCATTGGCGACAGCAAAGGGGCCTACCGTTTTTTTGCTCACTAAATTGCGTTAGTGTAAACCTCTCAGTCGCGGAGAACCTAACGGGTTACCGGGGCTCGGGCTCGAAGTGCAGGAGAAGGAACGGGGTGGTTTTTAGTCAGTAAGAGTCTGACACTCCCCTCCGCCTCACCCAGGCGGGAGAAGCCATTCGATGATTATCCCCCCTTAAAAAAAGTGTAAACCTCTCGTTCTTTGTCCAATAGAGAATTAGCTAGTGTCACACCATTGGACGACGGCAATATTTGACAGTTACTGTGATTGGACGAAAAATTTTAACTGACGTATGCGCCATCTAGTAAGCAAAAAACGGTAGCCCCCATTGGCTACCATCAGGTGATCTATTTTGCTGCTTGTTTGTCGACTTATTCCATAAAAAATAAATGTGTTTCGAAGACAATCGTAAATACAGTCTACCCATTACCCACTATATCCATGACTGATATTTGCAGAATGCAAGTACAAATAGTAAACATTTTTTTATGTAGTTCATATGCTTGCCAAAGTTATTCATAATGTGTAATAATACTAACATATTCTGTGCTATGCCCGACTAAAAATATATACTTATATACTCAATTTTGTTTATTTATACCCACTTGGTCCGATATCATACTTGTGTGGTACTTTTTGACTTGTATAATAGTGTACTCTACCTATGTCTTATGTACAGTGGCCAGCCGGCAGGACGGACCTACTCCAATCTGACAAATTTATTTATTGTATTTTCGACAGTATAGGAATACAATAAAGTTAAAGATGTAATGGAGAAATTTGACAGAAAGGTATACTTGACTTGCTGGCCACAGTAGTTGTTATTCATCCTAAAATAATCATTCTTGCATTATGCGTTACGGCGAGTATCTTGTATGTAATAATACCTCATTAATTTAAGGCCATGTTGCACCTTCCATTTCCTAAACAGTTTTTTCGTACATTATCGCATATTATGTACCATTTTATATATTTTTAGTCGGGCCCATATTTATTTTGTTAGACAGTTTTTGTTTTTCATCTGACATTTTTGAGGAAATCACTGCATCCACCGAGATAACATTGTTCTAGATTTAAGAATCATTACCATCAAGTAAAGGTGTATCAATTTGTTTTTTGTTTACCTGTGTATACGAACTTTACAGGCAGTTTGTAATAAATGCATATCTCTTCCCAAAATGTGCAAAAAATATCTATGTTCAAATATATATTACAAATTAACGCCTTCTTTACTATGTTGCCTCTGCTTGAAGTGGGCGCCTATAAAACATATTTCTAATTAATTGGAATTTTTAAATGAATACTTATTTAATGTCTACGGATTTTAAATGCAATAATACATTATTATGATTTAATTTTTTAACGTAAATGTAATTTTAATATTAGAATTTTTAAAATATTATTATGTATTTTAGTGATGCTCAAAATGTAAAGACACAAGTATTTTAAGATCTCTTTGTCTTTATTCATATTTTAACACTGTAGTTGCTGTCAACTTTTTTGTTGTTTTATTTCTACCGTACCGTATATATTATTTTTTACTCTGAAAACTATTGTAAAACCTTTTTGAAGACTAATTATCATAAATTTAGATGTAGAAAAAAGTAGTGTCTTAAAGATAATATTATATTTCAATGTAGGTATGAAACAACAACTCCAAATGTAATGCATTTCAACATATATACATAAACATTTGTAGTATAATGTCTGAGCTCGAGACTGAGGCCTTAGTACGAGTTTGTTTTAGGTTTAAAGTAATCGTAACGAGTACGCGTTCGACGCCGTGATTGGTTGCTTCATTGGTGCCGGCCAATCAGAGTGCCGAACGCATACTCGTTTCGAATACTTTAAACTTAAATCAAACTCGCCTCTGATGTCTTGTAAAGGCTCGCCGTGTAAAATGTCCATATTTATTACTGCTTTGTGTGGAAATATATAATTTGTAAACAAACTTACTAAAAAAGCTGCACCAAACCGTAAATTTTGACGTCCTCGTTTTCATTTTGTGTCGCAAGAAAGTTGGTAATACTGCTATGATCATCAATCAAAATTAATATCAATCAATCAATTTAGGATGACACTGGCAGTATAGTCGACAACATCGTTTTGGAGACTCGGTTGCCAAAAAGGACAAAAAAAAATCAATTTAGGACTCGTCTTTTGTTTCTTTTTTTCTATAATGTAAACTTTCTAGATACTCATATGAAAACTATTTTGACATTGGAATTTCTTAAAATTATCATTTTATTATGTTCCACGCAAAGCACTATGTATGAATGTGTAAAGCATTATTTGAGCAATAGTCTAAGACCTAGTTTCTAGGTGAATAGGTTGTTTTTCGTATTTAAGTTAAGAACAGAATATCTTCTATACAGATGTCAAGTGTGAGTTTTGAATAAAGATTTTATTTTTAAAATTTGTTTGCTTAAATACCTTTTATATTAACAAACTCAATAATATTGTACACAGTATATATTATTTCGCAGCTATATCTTTAAATTAAATGATGAAATGTGAGTGTCGAGAAAAATGGGCTGGCTCGACCGGAGTAATACCACGGCCTTACAGAAGACCTACGTGAAACAACGTTTGCGTTGTGTTTCGTCATGTGAGTGAGATTACCGTAGGCCCAATTACACCCCCCCCCCCCCCGGACAATTTCCCCAATCCTTAAAAATAGTGGTCGTTTACCGGCTTACCCCTAACGTGCCGTTATGTGCACCACCCCTTCGGGCATAAATCGCCCGACGATGTATATGTTTAAATGTTCTACAACCTAGAATGACTAATACGTTTGTGTCTGATAAAAACGGTATTTGTGTTGAGCAGTTCTTTCCGATATACGATTTAGCAGTTAGTTATACCTAAAAAAGCCGTTTGACCTATATTTGTAAATACTTTACTCGTGGTTCCTGCAATAGATACGATAACTTACATTGAAAAGTAGTTTCAGCTGCGTCAATATTATTAGATTGTGTTATTTTATTTCCTTATTGATAAAGTTTATGTAGACTGGTGGAGTATAATTATAACTATCCTTTATAATATTAGAATATTATATTTGCTAATTTAAGTCTTCACGAACGAATCTTAATCGTAAGTCGAACTGACATGGTTGCGGGACGAAGCCAGGACACAGGATAGGAGTTCCAATAGTTTTTGGTCAGGAAGTGTCTGACACTCCTTCCCACCACTTCAGGCGTCATATGATGATTGTCTATCGTCACGAAAAAAGGTCGAGGTGACCGAGTATATTTACTCGGTCAGCAAATTCTTGATTTTATTGTCAAGTATTACTTGGGCCCCAAGTTCTAGCCTATCCGATGCTATGTGAACAAAAGCATCTAAAATAGCTATCTATTAGTCATATTCTAGTACAATCTCCGACTGTTAAGGTCCCTCAAAGTCATCCCTCGTGCACTTGTCTTATGCGACCTCATATCTAGCCTCACGGCATGCATTCCTTTCGCCACCACTATCTACTCGACCAGTAGATAAAGTAGCAATAATAAATAACTACAATAGTTATAAGAAGACGAATGAAAGACGTGTGTGTTAAAAATACATATTAAAGTTGTCAAGGAAATCACAGAATCATCTAATATATAGTATGCTTAACATAAATGTACTTAAGTAAATTATTTCCTTACTCCAACCCACATTGATTACTCGGTCAGAGGTTACAGATAAGTCCAATAAAACGAACCACTGAACAAAAGAGTGTTTGCTAAATTTACACCATAATGTGTTAGTGTTAAAAATGTTTCATAAAGTGAAGTGTTTTCTCCTTATTACTTGTGTATTTATATTTGGCATCGAGTGTAAGAAGGTTAATAGGAGATCGACTGAAGATAAAGATGGTGGGAAGAGTAGCTTGGCGTTTATTTTCGATACGACTGGTTCGATGTACAATGACTTGCGACAGCTACGGGAGGGAGCTGAAATGATCCTGAATACTGCTCTACAGGAAAGTGGTGTCATCGCTGACTTTGTGTTTGTGCCGTTCCATGACCCCTGTAAGTCTTACCTACTTGTTTTTATATGTACAATCTAGTAATATCATATATAAATAGACCTTGAGCATGGCATTTGTGATTAAGTGGTCTACTTTCAAGTATATAGGGCGTTAAAATGTACTAAGCTGGAGTAAAAAAAGTTAAACAAAGAATAATAATATGTTAAAGTAAAACTGCAATTAAAGTTAAGTACCTAGTTCAAAAATAAATATAGATATCACATCAGAAAACATAAACATTTTTAAAGGACATATTCTGTTCCAAAGAGTTTATTATTCCTCAGAGTAGTGTCTGAAAAGAAAGTCATTTACCTACCTACCTATACGACACAGACTCTTAGTCCAAAGAAACCCGTTCTACCAGAAAATAGGGACTCTTCTGTACAACAATGTTGTCTGTTTACAGTGGTTGGCCCAGTAACAGTGACAAAGAATAAAAGGGTATTCCAAAGAGCGTTAAACATGGTCCACGTTCAGGGAGGAGGTGACTGTCCTGAGAAGTCTTTGACGGGAATACAGCTAGCTCTGAATGTCAGTAGACCAAGGTCCTTTCTGTACGTGTTTACGGACGCGACCGCTACCGACCATCGCATTGTTGGCAAAGTACTGGACGCTATACAACGAAAGCAGAGTCAGGTAAGCTGAAACTGTGATTACTCTTGAACTTCTTAACTCTTAGTTATAAGAAAGCTTCTACATCATTTGAATACTGGGACTTATAGAATAAAAAATTACCTACTTTAATAAAAATAAGATTTTCAACAACTAACAACACTTCAACTTTCAACAGAATTTTAACAACGAAATAAAGTCCAATATCCAATGACAAAAATTGACACATTGGAGTAGATTCATGTGCTGGCCTACATTAACAACAGAGATCGGTAATTTTCGGTAATCTTACTCTCGGTTTTTACTGTAGTTTGAGTGGAACTTATGATTTTAATGACACCTTCTAGTACTAGGTATCGTAAGGATCACGAGTAGTGTTCAGTTAATTTTGAACTTTAATATTATTCATTCAGTACTGGCGTCCTTCTTGTTGAGCGGTTTATGGGTGATATTATGTAAGTACAACATTTTGAAAATCAAAATGTGGTCATCAACTTTTGATACTGGCTGTACTTACTTATTGTATCTAACAACATCATGTTCTACGTAAAGCCTTTTTGGAAAATAACACATACAAAACATATTGTTCAGGTGGTGTTTATACTAACCGGTCACTGCAACGATTTGAAGCGACCCTCGTACAAAGTGTACCAGCAAGTTGCCGCCGCTAGTTCTGGACAAATATTCAACTTGAATAAGACCAATGTGCACATGGTGAGTATCTATATACTAAAAGTAATTAAGTAATTAATTTTTAAATAAAATACTCTTTCTTTTCCCGCAAATGTCAAGAGTTTTTTTTTTATATTTGATGGGCTCACGTTTGACCACTACCTCACCTGATGGTAAGCGATGATGCGGCCTACGATGGAGCACGTCGTCCCATAAGCAACCTATTCACTCGAGCATTGAAGACACCCAGGTTATAACCCTTCAGGAAATACAGACTCTGGCAAAGAATTCTGCTCCTTAGCAGTGCGCACAAGGAAGCTTGATGCGAAGCGCTTTGTGAGTGAGGGTGGGACATCTACCATGAATCGGTGGCGCTTCACCGAGTGTCTTGACTAAGGGTCTGCACCAGGCAACAGCAGCCCTCTGTGAACGGTAAACCTGAACCTTTTAAACTGCGCACCAACGCTGGTGAAGAGTGAAAATTACGGCATACCTACGTCATAATATTTCTTGATACTTAAAAATAATCAAACATTTATAATTTTCTGTGATAGCTCCGTCAAAATTAAAGCGTTTATTTACCTGTATATTAAGTAACGTTATGTTCGTATCGCTTGTATGTAATTAACTTAAATATGTATAAAAGTATACCCCTATTTATATTTCAGATGCTGGATTTCGTAAAAAGTTCTATAAAAGGTCGCACAGTGAATTTAGCTTCTGTATCAAATCCTCCCGGATATAATTATACTCAAGAGGTTAGTTATTTACTTTAAAAGCTCTTTAAGTGGTTTTTGATATGCTAGTTTCGAGTCACAGAGGCAGGACTCTCTTCCTCGCGTCGCGCAACCTATTTACGTGAACTTTTCTCAGTATATTTATGTGAGTAAATCATTTTTAGTTAATTTAGCTAATTAAACATTTATTTCTCAAAATAAGTATAATATTTACGACTTTCACGTAACTTGTTCAGTATACACGGATGCTCCACTAGTTTCGAGCTACAGCGGGGTTCATAATTATTACTTTTAGTTATAGGTAGGTTTACCTACAATACGGTGTGTTTATGATATAGGCCGACAAATTGATCACCAATCGGATTGGTCAGCAATCAGAAACCTGATGGTACCTCCCATTGACATCCGAAACACCAGAGGAGTTACAAATAAATTGCCGACCTTTTGGGGTTTACCAATTTGAGGATTGGGGAGATTGGACCTCTCCGGTAATTGAATTGAGTTTCCGGTAACTTCACTCACCCGACGAATTTTCTTTATTGTTTTCAAAAATGTCCTAATATAATTTTCTTTAGATTCCAGTGGACAGCACTTTGGGAGAGGTCACGGTGTCTGTGTCGGGAGTGAAGCCGAAGATATCTGTAATAGACCCTAATGGCGAAAAACTGACTGGACCCCCTAAACTGATCACCACACTTGACCTTTCCGAGATTATGGTAAGTTGGAGTGATTATTCTTTTTGGTGTATCACAAAACTGCGACCGAACGCCGCTTGTTTCGTACGGAAATGGAACCTGCAACACGTTGCACAGCATCCCAGTCACTATGCCAACCGTGTGATGTACAAAAGTAAATTGTTAATTCCTATCGTTCAGGATACATTCACTGCTGAATTAAGGCCTCTATATAACGGGGTTGACATAATCCCCACGCTTGGGTGACGACTTAGGGATTGCAGTTACGCCACCGAAAATTGAGAGGATACTGCTGGACACCCAGCAACGCTCTGTGTGTTCTACAAATATTTTTTTCGGGTCAGGCCGTAGTTTGTATGTGAATTTATATGTTTGTAAAAGCATCCACTACACATGACAAAAAAATTGTAATTTATACTGATTGAGTGACTAAAAATTAAAAAAAAAAGTGTTGGTATATAGGCTATCGGATTTATAACTAACTCTTACGGTTTGGTAATAAGATAAATAAAAGTATTCTTTATATGAATAAAAGTTACAAAATAGTAATATTTTTAAACCAGATAGTGAAAGTGATGCAGCCGGAGCCAGGGAACTGGACGGTGACTGTGGGCAGTGAGAAGGAGCACTCGGTCAAAGTGGTCGGACTGTCCAATGTGACCTTCAACCACGGGTTCTCAGTGGAACAGCCTAAGTCTATGAAGGAAACCAGCTATAGACCCTTGAAAGGTAAGGTAACATGTTTTTCAAAAACGTTTAGTTTAGTAGCTAGGAATATTGCCTTGCCTCCAAATGTATGTATGTATATGAGCTTCTAACATACTACCTCTAATGGCAAAAAGTAGTTGTCCTATTTAATTGTATCTACTTCCGTGTGGTTACACCCGCTCTGCTCGGCGTTTATTGGGCGTAGCGTGATATTTTATAACCTATAATATAGCCTTTGTCGATAAATGAACTATCCAAAACAAAAATATTTTTTCTAATAAGACCAATAGTTCCTACAATTAGCGCATTCAAACAAACCAACTCTTCAATTTTATGAATAAAATAAATAAGTATGAGATGTGTATTTATCAAAGTAAGGATATTTTTATATAATTTCCATTTATAATGATTATGATTCACTAGATGGCGCTCTTGACGAATAACGGTCCTTAGTCCTGGTATTACAATAGTTTATAAATTGTATAACATTGATTTCATATTTACAAGTGACAAGTAGGTATTGTTAAATCTGCATGCTTCAAAGTTAGGAGCATTAGGCCAATTTTAAACTCTGCTTAGGTATAAAACTATATGTCAATTCAAAAAGAGTTACCGAAGGTATACTCTAAGGATGTATCACGAATGATGGAATTAATTTTAATATTTTCTTTAAGGCACATACAACCACATGCTGATCTCGTTGTCACCACCAAATGTGACGGCTAGCATTCAGTACGCGGAGATATTGACTCTAGACGGACGCTCGCTCTTTGAACTACCCCTTAAAAAAATCGACAACAACTTGTACAGTGCAGACCCATTCATTCCACCTGACGACTTCTTCTATATCGCTGTAAGTAAAAAAAATGTTGCAAGGAGAAATATATGTTTAGTTTCAAACTTTTGTCAGGCATACTAATTTAATTATTATGTTTTCGGGTTACTCACGTAACTGTTTGAATATGAATGCTGCTCATGAACATGAGCCTCTAGCATGGCTTGAAACTATTCAAGTTCCTCGTCAAACACTTATGCGGGTAAGCCGAAAACATATATTATATATTTATGGGATAAGCCGGTAAACGAGCAGACGGATCACCTGATGGTAAGCAATCGGCGTCGCCCATGGACACCTGGAACACAAGAAGCGTTACAAGTGCGTTACCGGCCTTTTGGGATTAGGAATTTGAGGATTGTTGGGGATTCAGGGATTGGGGAAAGGGGGGGGGGGTAATTGAGCAATTCATTGGCAATTCATTCAGGAGAAATATATTTTTATTTATTATAAAAAATGCTAAGTTCCATAATGATACAACAATAAGACGAGTGTGAGTATATACATAGGTCGTTACAGTTAGGTTATTCTGCAACTGTCAATTCGAAATTTAAAAGTGAGCTCGATCGCATTCTCGCACGTCATTGGTCGAGATTATTTTCACAACACATGAAATGGCGGGCCGCGATCGAATGCATTTCTCTTGAATTCAAATAAAGAATAGCGTAGCCGGTCAACCTGATAAAAGTGTGATAAAAAGGATTTAGTGACGAAAAATATCAAACACACAGTAAAATTTTTCTTTGTACCATTTTTAACCAAGATGTACATTTTAGATCAATGGCCAAGACAAGTACAAGCAGGATTTGCGAAGGATAGGTGCAACTGCGATACAGGCACAGTTACCAGGTAAGTCGCATCTTTATTACACAGACCCCCGAATAGGGTCATCAAGTCATAGTTATTGCAAGAATTCAAATACAAACTTCAGCCGGAATGTGCTGGCTCGACCGGAGTGATAAATACGGCCGCACAGAAAATCAGCGTGAAACAAAGCTTGCGTTGCGTTTCGCCGCGTGATTGAGGAGTCCCGGAGAATTCCTTCCCTCCCAAATCCGCAAATTCCCAATCTTCAAATCCGGAGAAGTCCATTAGTGGCGCCGATCGCTTATTGTTAAGTGAGTGAGAGAATGTTCGTTGCTGTTTAATAATGACTGAAAAGTTACTTTTTTGTGTGCCAGGTCAGTTTTTCTTGTTTTAAGAAACAAAAGAATATTATTCGACTGTACTGATGATGAAGTAACCCCCACTCTTAAACTTTAATTCGGATTTTCATTAATTTGTAATAGAATAGTAGACTATTTTTTTTTAATATCCGTCTAGTAGATTCTTTTAAAATATTAGACACGTATTCTTTCTTTTCTTACAAAATTAAATACTTTCGACGATATATTGATTTGAAATATCGTGTGACGTCACAATTTACTACATTTTATTGGGTAGTGTGACATGACGTCCTCCCACTCCAAAACTTAACTCCGTTTTATCTAAGTATTGTTTTCATATACGATAAAAAAAATATGGGCCTAATATTTTTTCAGTAAGTATCTAACTGACGGCCTAAATACATTTTTAATTTCCATTATTCATATACACGCATAATTTTCTCTTACAGATGTTCCCTACCTAACAGCATCTAGAAAGGTAAGATATTTTGTTAGATCTAGACTCTCTTTCTAGGATCTAGTAACATGCTTTATGTATTTGCAATGTGGCGTCCGATAGAGCCCATTCCAACCATTTGTCGCCACCCCCTACTATACCCGCGACCGTCGCAAGAGTCGACTAACTAACGATTTCAATAACCGATCTCAATCCAACATCTTTAGGTTAAGATCGATTTTAAACCGATTTCAAAAAGGAGGATCTCAGTTTGTCCTGTATGTATGTGTGTATGTTTGTACGCGATTACCTCGCGATTTGCTGAACCGATTTTGATGTATTTTTGACATTCGTTCTATAGATTTTTTTAAATGAAGATAGATCCAAAGGTTTTGGATTGAAATCGGTTAATGAACTTGGCAGTATAACAGAGACTGAGCAGTAACGTTGTTGGATAAGTCAGAACGTTTGAAACTGCATTCTCCAATCTGCTTGTCAGGCCTCTTTTGTAAAAGATTCATAGGATCTTTTAAGATTAGGTACATGCTTTATGTACAATCAACCACGTCATTTAGCATACAGGTAAGAAAATATATATTGCTTTAGTACAGAAACAGTATCTATAGGTTACCGTGGCGTTTCTGTATTGAACCAATCTTGATCTGCACTTGGTATGCAGATAAAACATCTTGCCTGAATGTAAGCACTTATAGTCACAGACATTAGGGTTCGAAAGATATATGATGGTATATTTATCACTTTTTTGTGATATATACGAATTTTGTCTGATCTAGAAGAAAGCTTTGTGTACTTTTTTAAATAAAAATAATCCATGACGTTCACGTTCGTGTTATGTTCTAACTAAATCATTGCAGGTGGAAGCGCATTCCCACTCGCGCGTGGTGTTATCATGTTCTGTTGAGAGTTTGGTACCGGTCACTGCTATGTGGACCAAGGACGGAACGAAAATGTATAAACAAATCACCAGCTTGTGAGTATGTTGTGTACCTACACCGTTTTTATAACCACTACCAATTCTACGTGTCGTACCCATCTCTAATCTTATACTATTATAGAGGTATAAAGCGGTAGAGTTTGTTTTTTTGTTTGTTTTTTGATCGTGCTAATTTCCGTAACTACAAGTCTGATTTGGATAATTCTTTTTGTGTTGGATAGCGCATTTGTCGAGGATGGCTATAGGCTATAAAACATTGTTATTTGGTCGGTCCGATAACACTACTCAACAAATTTTCAACTTTTGATTTTATCTGAGGTCGCATTATGTGATTACTATTTCTTGCCACTAAAGTAATTAAAATATGCAAATATACACACACCATCACATCTCAATGTCCAGATAAACATCCATGTCCGAAATTACGAATTTTCCATAATTTTATTGTAATTTTAACTGAAATGGCGTAGTTTTTTTGGAGTAGCTGGCTTTTCTCTTGTACTCAGTAGCAGGGGTCTCTCTAATAAGGCTCTTACAGTAATCCGCGAGCATAGCAGGCTCCCATCTGCCTTGAAATCGCTTTTCAAATGCAACAACATCTTGGTGAAAGCGTTCGCCATGTTCGTCACTGACGGATCCCATATTTTCAGAGAAAAAGTCAAAATGCGAGTGAAGAAAATGCAACTTAAGTGACATATTGCATCCCATTGTATAGTAGCAGTCTAATAAAACTTTTATTATTTCGCGAAAATCTTCAGATTTTTTGTTACCAAGGAATTTGTTAGTGACATCCACAAAACCGTTCCATGCTTATTTTTCAATATTATTGAGAGCAGATATAAAAGATGGACCTTGAATCAGCTTTTTTATGTCTGGACCTACGTAAACACCCTCTTTAATTTTCGCGTCACTAAGCTTGGGAAACTTACGATTTCGGCGTAAACTCGCCACAAATATAGCAAAATAAATCAGGACTGTTAACACACACTCGCGACATTTTAGAAGTCAGTTAATATACTAACAAATGCACTATGTTCCATTTGCAAAAGTTATAAGTTTCCGGACTACCCGCATTTTAACTTTTGTAGGTAGGTAAAAAAATAAAAAAATATTTATCCCTATAACCAGATGTGATATCGAAATAAAATGCATACAGTATTTTTATATTGGTCAAGCTTATTATGAAATAATATGAATTGGGTCAGATATTTTTTAAGTGTTGAGTAGTGTAATGAGGACAATATTGAATAATGTATCTATTGTCTAATTGCATTCTTAATTCTCTTTATTATTACAATTTATCTCTAATTTTGTTCTGGATTATAATTAATTATAAATAATTGTTAATAAATAAATACTAGTCGTTGCATGTCATGTTGTGTGCACATACTTGTGGAAGCATGGTCTGCCATTTACAGTTTTGTATTGTTGCTCTGTTGTGTATTGTGCTGTGTTTCTGTTTTGTGTACCTAATAAATAAATAAAATAAAATAAAAAAATCACGCTACGATCAATAGTAGCTGAGCAGAACATGTGAAACCGCGCGGAAGTAGCTATAGTATCCAAATAAATCCCCTAAATGGCCAGCAACGGATTTGTACCACTTTTGGTGATGCAAGTCTCCATGGACGGCGCCGATTGCTTATTATTACGTGATCTGACTGCTCGTTTTCTGCCTTATCAAATAAATAAAATATAGAACATCGGTTTCAGACAAACAACGTCGATTGACTTCGTGATAGACAATATGAAAGAAGAAGATGTCGGTACATATAGATGTATCGCTCACAATATGGCTGGGGTCAGCAGGACTAGCACCGTACTCGACCTTATTGGTAAGACATAAATGACATTTTACATAAACAAGTCGAATAAATGATGGAAGGTTGAAACATTTAAATATTCAATATGATTTTGCGTCTCCAAGAATGAATGAAACTAACTTGCGTTTTATTCCACAAAAGAATGTACAGATGCTGATCATCGTCACGATTTCAGATTCTATGCCATAACTGAGAATTTCTAACATCCAAATTGTTCTCAATATAATTTTGTCCACAACTCCTTGTGCAACGGTCCAATCAATATTTAAACCTAAATTACGACTTCTGCCTGCGACTTCGTACGCGCAAATTATATGGGAAAGAGAAAAACCCTTTCGCATATAATTTTCGAAAAATCCTTGGATAAAAAGCGTCCTATGTCCGTCTCCTGGTTTTAGGGCTCGTACACAAAACTGCGATGCGATGCAAATTCGCAACACAGAAAATTAAGACACGAATTGCTGCGATGCGATTTCGTGTGACAAGGCGTCTTCCAGGATGACCATTCCTTCGACCGTCAACCGTACTAAACGTATTTGAAGGTGAAAACTAGGTCGTGACATAGATCGTAAAAAGAAGTGTGCACTTTTGTTATTGTTTAGGAGATACAGGAAAAAGAAACAAAGAAGATTTTGAGAAGATAAGGTTTTGATGCGCGATGCGAATCGATTCGCAAGTTCTTGCGATGTGTAGAGGGAGCTCGCACATTACTGCGATGCGACGTCGTATAGCAGTTTTATGTACGAGCCCTTAAACTGCCCCTAATTTGCAGCCATATCGATTTGCCGTTCTTGTATTATAAATAGTGTAACTAACAAGATGTGTAAATATATTTATCAATGTTTCAGTTGAACCACCTCAAATAACTATGGAACCGGAAAATACTACGGAATTAGAAGTAGGTGACACTTTAACAATATCCTGTACTGTGTACAGCGAAGCACTCCTTTTAGAAAACCGACTGATCTTCAATGGGAGTCAAACACATTATGGTAGATAATATTACGTTACTTTATTTACGTATGTAGTTGTTCGAGAAGTTACTCGCATAGTTTCAAGCTGCGACAAGGGCTCATAATCATGAACAGTATGTGTAACTGTTACTAAGTTAACCATTGTTTATATTTTTTGTGAGATTCCTATACAGTATGCAAGATCGAAAAGATATTTTTAGATTTCTGTTTAATGTGCCATTCAGCTACTGTGGTTTCATCAGATCGTACAGTTTAAATTAAAATATCAGAACTTATGTTTTTATTTTCATTTCGCAGCTACCGAAATAGACAAGGAGCCGAAATTAGAAGGAGTGTACCCGTATAAGAAAAATATTAAAATAGATTCTGATACTGTTGGCTTGTACACGTGTGTCGCTGCTAACAGAGGTAATTCTATAATACTTATTACTATGTAATATTATAAATATGAAGTTAAGTTTGTTCGTATATGTAATAAAAATAAAAATTGCTTTTAAAAAACCTACTTCATAAAACTAAAAACAAACACAAATTAAAATTATAAAGCGAAAAATAACTATTATTAGTACTGATAGGTTGCCCATCCACTGATAGGTTAGAAGTCGGCGCCATAAGTTCTAAACAAAGTAATTCATTAAAACCTTAATAGATACGTAATATTAAACTGTTTACAATTTTGTGACCATTAAGTTATAACATTTTATATGACCTTATGGCACCGACTTCTACCCAACAAGAATTTTGGGAATCGGTTGACAAATGGCGAAGCAATAAGTGAACCGGTAAATCGGTGAAAAAAATACATTCATTTTTTTAAATGAAATGAAATGTGTTTATTCTGCATAATACATGAATGTCAAAAACAAAAAAATAACAATAAAAAGGTTTAAAAACAAAATAACAATAAAAAGGTTTAAAAACATACAGAGAAAAAACAAAAGATAATAAGCTTAAACAATTATAAAACTTAAACAAAATAATAATAATAGTCACATCATACTTTTTAAAGTCGATAATTACCTGAGTAACCAATGTTCTAAAATTAAAGAAAAATTTCGAGCGATTGACGAGCCACAAACCACCAATCGAATATTTGTTAATATTCAGGCATTACTTATAAAGAAAGAAAGAAAAAACATTTATTTTGCAACAAGAATTAAGGTGGGTATACAAAAAAGCCCATGGCGCGTCGCAGCGCAAAAGGCTGGAGCACAGCTTAATACCGTGGACCGGGCACAGAGGCTCGATAGTATTATATTATATTATACATATAGTCAACGTAGAACAGCTCACAATGATTATTTCAGGTGGCAAAACAAACCAAACGACGCTTATAAAATTGAAAGCAGATCCAACTGCACAAATATTAGGCCCTCACACACTGTCAAAGAAGATTAACTCCAGCATGCAGCTCGTATGTACTGTGGATAACGCGGGCGCTGTCGTATGGACCGCGCCTAATGGGACTGTGGTCAGGTCCAGAAATATTACAGGACCTTCTAATGACATGCTAGAAATAAAGAATGTTACTAATGATGGTGAATGGACATGCTCGGCGGTTAGAGGATCTCGTAGAGGTACGTGTATCGTCTAAGTTTTGAATGGGTAGTTTCCAGGGTATCAAAATTTAAAATCGAATTAGTCCGTCAGTTATATAATGAATAATTTTTTTATTTATAACTTTTTAGCTGTTTTTATTTCGATATATACAAATAGGGATATATCGAATAAAATCGCTATTTAGAGACGACCGTCAACGACGTGTGCCCTCATGCGTGTGCCCGCAATCGGGCTGTATACTCGAGCATATCCCCCTCCGCACCGCGCCGCGCGCCGCATGCCAGGCCACGCCCTATCTTTTTGCTTGCTAACGCATGAGTTGCTTTGCGTTGACGCAGAATTAACATGTTCCCGTGGGAATTTTGAGAAAAAACGTATCCTATATTAATTACTCCCGTGATTGAAATGAATCTAATGATACCGCATACATATTTTTTTAAAGGGAAATTTAGAAAAAATATTATTATGTCTTTATCCCGTGGGACTTTTAGGATAAAATGTATCCTATGACACTCCCGTAATCAAGACAAATCTAACGATACCTCATACATCAAAATCCATCAAGCCGTTTAGGCTACAGGTGGTCACAAAGGAAAAGACATACATACATACTTACATACACTCGAAAAACATTACCCTCCTTCTTTGGCAGTCGGGTAAAAAATATTAGACACGTATTTTTTATTTTCTCGTATTAAGTTGAAATACTTAGATAAAATGGCGCTAAGTTTAGGAGTGGAAGGTTGTTACGTCATAACGTGCTACAAAATGTGGCAAGCTGTGACGTCACACGATATTTCAAATTAATATATATCGTTGAAAGTATTTAGTTTTGAGAGAAAAGAAAAAATACGTGTCTAAAGTTTTAAATTAATGTACCAGACGGACATTAAAATAAAAGTAAACTACCCTATTAAATATAATGCCTTGTTCGCACTACGTTAGTAATTTAGTCGAGTAGCGAGTATTTAGTAGTCCTGTTTCGCGCCTGTCCCGAAATGAAAGCGAGAGAGTACTGCTAAATACTCCCTACTCAACCAAATTACTAGCGTAGTGCGAACAAGGCATAAGAGTAATGACCTCTTTTTAAATGTTATGGATCTTTGAAATCTTACTAATATTATAAATGCAATAGTTTGTGTGTAATATTTGTGTGTTTGTTTGTATGTATGTTTGTTACTCAATCACGTCAAAACGCCTGAAGGGATCGGGGTGACATTTGGAACAGGGATAGATTATGGTCTATAATAACACATAGGCTACTTTTTATCCTACGTCAACACGGGCAAAGCTGCGGACAGATGCTAGTTTATGATAGGTGACACTTAAGAACATGAACTCTAAAAGGTAAAGGTATGACTAGCTTCAAGCCATGCTAGAGGCTCATATTAAGTAGCAGCGCGACAGTCGCTGCGTCGCGGGTCGCGGAATGCTGCTCATGAATATGAGCCTCTAGCATGGCTTGAAACTAATCAAGTTCCTCATCAAACAGTTACGTGAGTAAGCCGAAAACATAATAATTAACGAACCTTACCTAATTAAAGAGAACTACAGTAAGCTTTTAAACCTATACCTATCCTTTAATAATAATACCCTTTGTCCTAGGTATCGATAAAGTGAATGTAAATGTCCTAATAAAGCCAGTAGTCAGTATAATAGGTTCAAAGAACATAACGATACTGAACGGTACTGTCGTCGAAGTGAATTGTGAAGTGGTCGCCAAGCCATCGCCGCGGATATTGTGGCACAGAGAGACTGAGACTTTTCTTAATAATACTGTAAGTATCATCAGCCTGAAATTTTTTACCTAATGGGCAAAATCATCTTATCGTATGGTGACTGCGCTCCACTCACTCCATTACAGACCTTATTTCCAATGGTTAGAGACTACTTTTGTATGAACAAATGTTGTGGATTTTTCATAATGATTTGTATTATGTGAGCTGAAGAGTTAATTTGTTTGTTTGACCGCGCTAATCTCGGGAACTACTGGTCTGTTTGAAAAATTCTTTTTGTGTTGGATACTCCATTTATCGAAGAAGGCTATAAGCAATAAAACATCAGGCTGCATCAAGTATCAGGCTACGATCAATAGGCATCAAGCAGTGCGGGCTAAACCGGAAATAACTGATTTACTTATAAGTATATTAAACTCCGGAGTCGCTGACAACTTAACTGGTTACTGGGACTCCGGCTCGGCTCATTTACTAATTACATTTACATTTACAAATTACATTTAAACAGAGCTTAGCGCTTAGTGCAAGTTTGTTTCAATTAACGTGACCGACACGTTACCGCGTCCAGCCCTCTGATTGGTTGGTTAACTTGGAGCAGCCAGTGAGAGCGCTAAACGTTGTAAATGTGGTGATTGCGTTAACGTAAAACAAACTCCCACTAGGCCTACAGAAGCCCTGGGGTCCGGAGCAGGTCTCTTCAGAGGACCCGGTGCCCCTTACAAATAATGAAGGTGGCCAACGGGGTAATTTTAGTAAGGTTCCTTTTTCAAAAAATCCCTATCGTAGTTGTCGTGGAATGAACTCCCTGCCGTGGTTTTCCCAGTGGGCTACAACATGGGGTTCTTCAAGAGGGGAGTGAATAGGTTTCTTAAGGGTCGGCAAGACGCATGTAAAGCCCCAAATGTTGCTTTGCCGTGTGCTTTTTTGCCACCGTCGTGGTATAAAAAAAGGTATGAATCCCACGCTCCCTAGTGTTTCTTCCCAAAAAGTTAGGCGCCTTTTGAAGGATTCCCACCGTCATTAAAAAAAGGTTGTTCATTGGAGCCGGCCAATCAGAGCGCCGAACGCGGTTTCGTTTTCGAATCGTAAAAGTTTTAAATTTCCAGATAAAACAAATACAACCGAATGTATACCGAAGTGTATTGAAATTGAATTCAAGTGCGGACTCTGTGGCCGCCACTTACTTCTGCTTTGGAGAAAATTCTGAAGGCATACATCAAGACAGTCTGACCGTCCATGTTCGGAGAAAGATGAAATTACTTCATGGATTCGAAGGTATACATAAATAATCATTTTCTTGATACTTGTGACCACTATTAGTCATACATTAATTACAAAGTTCAACAGTCGTACTCGATCTACAGTTATCATTTGACATTCAAATTCATCGATAACTTTACATCACTAATGTTAACATAACTTACAAATTTACTTACCAATACCATTTTATCGATAATTTCCAGATCAATCAGTGCAGCTCTATTATCAAGTTGAACTGCAGTGTGTTATCGATTCTTATCCTTTGCCCAACATTATTTGGTACCATAATGGTACTGAACTAGTCACTAACAGTAACGTACACGTTTCCGAGGACAACTCTACAGTGTATTTAAAAAGAATCGAGTTTAATGACCTAGGTGGCTACACCTGTATAGCCGATAATGGCTATGAAAATATAATAGTGAGTGGAACAATTGGTGTCACTGGTTTAGGTAAGATTTTTGTTATGAAATTATAATAACATTGTATGACGTCATATCTTTTAATCCCCGAAGAGATGGTTCAAGTCTTGTTCACGTTACCTCATGTCATACGCACGCTTTCGTCAATTGACCATTGCAAGACCAATGATTGTATCTGTGTTCGCGTAGCGGTAGTGTTGCGTCACTCTACTCTCGCATATCGTCATTTATAGGTTGCAAGCATTCGGCAAAATACGCGTCGTGAACATTAGGGCTTAGATAAAAGTGCAGCATATGCAGTTACTCCAAATTTTCACCAGTTATGTTATAAGGGCTGCGCCTATTGTTACACATCGGGCACAAATCTGGACTCCATGCTAAAACTGATAAAATCAAAGCACTTATTATTTCAACCATACCACATAGAGACACTTTTGTAACATCGAAAATAGAATAGCTCGTCATTTAAGCTAGTTGCTTAATCCAAATGTAGATTCTTAGACACGTCATTTTAATTTTACCCCTTAACAACTACTTTGCTCGACCGACCCTGGAGATTTCCTTTTTTTAGAAAATTTAGCTCAGAATTATAGTAATGAATATTTTTAATATTTCAGCGGCTCCCGTTATATCTAAAGAGTTGACAAAAATAACTGCCCGCTCCGGCAACTCTACTAAAATCACATGTAGGTGAGACTATGTATCGTTATAATTTATTCTTACCTAAGTCATATAAATAATAACTAGTTTATGTCGCCTGACTATTATTAATTAGGTATCTATCCTATGCTGAATGTCATTCTGATCCGTTCAGCAGTTTGGGATAAAGATTTTTGTATCATTCAGAAATTATCATTTACTAGCTACTGACCCGAAAAACTTCGTACCGCCTCAAAAACTTTATTTTTTTCACCCTTTAAACCTTCCCTGGACTTCCATGAACATTTCAAGACCAAAATTAGTCAAATCGGTTTAGCCGTTCTCCAGTTTTAGCGAAACTAACGAACGGGAATTCATTTTTATTTATATAGATTAAAAAAATCCATAACATTAAACGCGTAATTTTAATGTTCGTTTAACTTTTTTATAGAGTTCTCAAAGGCAGCCCAGAGCCTACAATATCTTGGGAATTTAAAAAGCAATCGTCGAATGAATTTGCCACTTTACCTGATGGCGTGGTCAATAATGAGAAGGAACTTATTTTAAGTAATACAGTGGAAGAGCAAAGTGGTGTGTATCGGTGTACCGCAGTTAATGTGATCGGAAAAGACGTTTATGATGTCCTCCTAGTAATACAATGTAAGTACATACATACATAACCTCACGCCTGTCTCCCATGGCTTAGGCAGAGACTGGGACGCCAATCGCTACGATTCTTACATACCTCTTTTACTTCAACAACAGTTATATGTATTTTCATGCATGCTCGTTCGTTTTAATTTGGCCTTTCTTTAATATATCGCCAATCTTGTCGATATATGTCCGTCTAATCTGAGGCGCTGTGTACCCTCGGTCCCATTCTTATTCGCTCTGTAATTTTTTCCGTAAATCTGCTTTCATCCATCCTTTCTAAATGTCACTACATTATCATTCAATCCACACTGTTCTCGAATAACCCTATTTTGCACTTGATCCCTTATTTTTACTCCACACATAGTTTTCAGGGCAAGTTAACAATATATTAATAATAAGCTCAATAGCTAACAACCTGACTATAGATTTGGTAAGAATTGCGTTCTATTTCTAGATCCACCTCGCATTGATAGTACTTTAGAAGGCGTTAATAAACCTCGAGAGGTAAAGCTGGGGAATGAAGTGAAATTTTCCTGCAAAACGGAGGGCTCCCCACCCCCTATACTAGTGTGGACCAAAGACACACGTCCTCTGGTGTACTCTGACAATATGTAAGTTACACTTCTGTATAGTAGAAATAAAATGGGGGCTAAAGTATCTTTGTTCACCAATTTGATGCCTAATTTATATTTTAATGTCCGTCAGGTATATTATTTTAAATCATTACACACGTATATTTTTATTTTCTTACAGAAACGAATACTTTCGACGATATGTTGATTTGAAATGTCGCGTGACGTCACTTCTATGTACATTTTATACGTAGAAATGACGTTTTAGACCCCACTCCTCGATTTGTCGAATGTTTATCGAAGTATTGTTTTATTATACGACAAAATAAAAAAATACGTATCTATCATTACCTAACTTACGGACGAATTAGATTTTTAATGTTCATACCCTGTCATCATCCCAATTAGCTAGTGTCTAACTATTAGACGTTTAGTATTTGACAACTGCAGTTATTGGATTGGACAAACTGGCCGTTTGCCAAATTTGTGCCATTTGATGAACAGAAAAACGGTAGTCCCCATTATATAGAACTTTTCTGGTGCTTGTTCAAACCACGAAACTGAACATATGATCATTTAATACTTTAAGAAATTCATGAAAAATATTCTGAGTTGTTCAATAATTTTTTTTTGTAAATAAAACGTTGCCCCACATTAGGATTTTCTCCTGTGTCGTGGGTGCGTTTACAAACATACAAGTTCACATACACAATGACACTCAGACCCGAAATAACAATTTGTTGATCACACACAGTGTTGTTCCGTGCGGGAATCGAACCCGCGACACGTTGCACGGCAACCGGTTGCCCAGCCACCGCACCAACCGTGCAGTCGACTTTCGTGTCGTGGCAATTTCAATAGAAACAACAAACTTTATTTTTTAATTTTCTCAATAGTTCCAAAACAATAGTTGATTCTTTTCATGGCCAGATCCAGCACATGGAAGGTTTCTCGTTTATTCAGAAACTCCTTATCCTTATCCTTATCCTTATCCTTATCCTTATTCCTTATCCTTACTATATATATTTATATATACTATTATAAATGGGAAAGTGAGTTTGTTTGTTTGTTTGTTTGTTCCGCTTTCACGCCGTAACTTCTAAACCGATTGCTTTGAATTTTTGCAGAATAAAGTTAGAAGTCCGGAATAAATAATAGGGTTCTTTTTATCTCGGAAAATTTTGGTATTCCCGAGGGAAAACAAAAGAATTGGTATAGATGGCGCTGTGTGTATTGGTATATGTCACATAGGCTACTTTTATCCTTTTGTGACGCGAGCGAAGCCGCGGGTAAAAGCTAGTTTAAGATACATATTTTTGCAGAAGTATTGTAGTTGTATTATGCTGCTTATTAGATGTAGAATATGCACGATTAGCGCAGTGGCTGGCAACTAGCTTCTAGATTAAAACTAGATTCCCTTACGAAACAAATAATCTTTTGTGTGATCCGCAAATTGTTGTTCCGTGTTTGGAAGTATTGAAAATGTGTCCTGGCAGTCTTGAGAAAATCATTGTTAACATATGATAGATTTCTTTTGCTTCAGAGGTTTTGAGATAGAGGATAATTATATATTTTTATAATATTTAATTTTTTTTTTAGAATTCTTTCAGATAAAAACGAGCTGTCGATAAAGAGTGTGTCAGCGTATGATTCAGGCACTTACACTTGCACTGCTACTAGTACGATTGGCTCTACACATAAGGACTTCACACTGATCGTATACGGTAAGGTATATACTTGTTTTTTAACGTCGGACATCCTTGTCCGACACAGCATCCAATGTGTTAATCTACATAACTTTAAAATGGGAGAGCCATGCTTCGGCAGGATTGCGCCGGCTCGACCGGAGTGAAACAACGCTTGCGTTGTGTTTCGCCGTGTGATTGTGTCTACTCGAGACCTAATTGCCCCTTTCCTCCTTGCTAGACTCCCCTAGGGTTGCAATTCATCAGGTGATCCGTCTACTCGTTTGCCGACCTATGACATCTTCCTTAAATAACTCCTACACCTTCCTTTACTATGTGATACCTTGTACTGGTTGATATAAAATAACCCCATTTCGGCAGTAATGTTAAGGGTCCCATTTTAGGCACATGAATAAAAATTACGTATAAACGTATTTTACAAGTATGGTATGAAATGACTGTCATGAGAATAAATGTTCGTAGAAGGGTTGAATATATAATATTTATTTATTTTTCAGACCCGCCCAAAGTAACATCTTCACCTGAAACTTTACTTGAAGTACTAGAAGGGCAACGAGTTGAGTTACCCTGTAGTGCACAAGGAGTCCCATCACCAATAGTGGAGTGGACGCAAAATGGTGCACCATTGTCTGATCACAGGAAATATGTTGACGAGTATGGATTGAGGTGAGATTATTATTTTATTTTAGTATATTTTTACCCACGTTGATTTCCCATAAAAACTAGCAGTATACTCCCAATAATGTGTAAGTGTTTGAGATTCATTGAGTAAATAAAGCTCAAAGAGGTTAGAAACAAACTTACTTTCGCTTTTCTAAAATAATTGGGATCGACATCATTGGACAATAATACTTCAAAGAACTCTAAAAGTCAACTGTTGATAACAAAATTTTATGTTCAGAGGCTCTCTAAATTTAATGATTATGAGCCCCGGTGTAGTTCGAGATCAGTTGAGTGTCCCTAATAAGTTGAAATAAAACATTTATCTCTTACCTATATATCCATTTTTTAGCTTTGTGGCCAACCTGACTGATTTCGGAGATTATGCTTGTACGGCTTCAAATGTTTATGGGAATACTTCTGTTACATACACGGTACACATATGGGGTAAGTTTAACCATGGCCTCTTATTTACTTACCTAACCAAGCGATTAAGCAAAGATACAATAGAGTTGATGACAAATTTTTATTTTAATGTCCGACTGGAATATTATTTAAAAACATTCACACATACTTTTTATTTTTTTACGGAAACGAATAGATTCGAAGATATATTGATTTGAAATGTCGCGTGACTTCACTTCTATGTACATTTTATACGTATACTCGGAATTTTAATTCGATTCCAGATTTGACAATTTCAGTGTTGCAACGTTATGACAAGTACTAAATAGTGACGTTGCGAAATTATTCGATATGGAAATGCAATATTTCTGGATCGATTCTTCTCGTTTATAATTTTACTCTCGTAAACTAAGGATATCAGGCAATTAAATATTTCTGACCGATAATTTAGTTTTGACGATTACTTAACGATCTGAGACTTTTCTTTTAAAATTGTGTGTGAAATAACTAAAAAAATGTAATCATGAAGGAACATGACAAATAAAACAGATAGATGTATTATGGTAATAAGTTATTTTATAAATTGTCGCCGTCATCGCTATCGCTATCCTGTCACTTTCTGTAACATTTATTATAAAACACACACACTGATTGTTTATCGATTTTTGTGTCCATCACTACACTATTATATGTGGTATCATTATTTCACAAAATGACAGTAGCTATTGTCAAATCTGGAATCTAATTAAAATTCTGACTATAGAAATGACGTTTTAGCCCCCACTCTTAAACTTTGATTCGTTATTGACGTGTAAAAGTGCTGCCTTGTAGCCTATTTGCAGAAATAAATTCACTTGTTTCACTTGTTTCACTTGTTTCACTTGTTTCACTTGTTATACTATCTAAGTATCATTTTATTGTACAACAAAATAAAAATACGTGTCTAATATTTTTTCATTACCTGACATACTAATTACATTTTTAATTTTCGTACCGTGTCATCATCCCTATTGTATTAAATGTAATGCTTACCTGCAGAAGTTGTGTATCATTTAGAACTGAGAATTTTGAAAATCAGTAATTTGCCATAAAGTTGGAGTGATCTGGGAATCGTGCCCAAGACACCAAGACAAGCAACAAACGTGAATGCCACGCAAGAGATTTTAGATTCGACGTCTTAACCGACTTCAAAAAAAGAAGGAGGTTCTCAGTTTTACTTGTGTATATGTATGTATGTATGTTTATCTACGATGGTCTCACGATTTGCTGGATCGATTTTGGTGTGGTTTTCAGAAGTGTTAGTTGCACCTATGAGCAGGTTTTATTTAACCGACTTAAAAAAGGAGTTGAAAGTCAGTTTTTTTAAACATACACATAACATCACGCCTTTTACCCCCAAAGGGGTAGGCAGGGGTGCACATTACGGCGCTTAATGCAACAGTACAATGTAACACCCACTTTTCATTATTTATGAGTCCCATGTAATAGGGGTTATTAAACATAGTCTATACAAATTACTTATTCTTAATCTCCCGAAAACAAACGTTGATTCAAAAATGGTATGATTTCAGTGCCCCCATACATAGGACCTCCATTATACAGTATGAAGGTAGTTTTGCTCGGCGACAATGTAACGTTACAATGTGACGTCATCGGGTTTCCAGTACCCACTGTGAGGTGGCAGTTTCAAGACAGCTTACTGACTTCTAATACTTCAGACTTGAGGTACTCTAATAGTTTTTTTTTTTTTTCAAGATTTTATTTGACTTGTAATGTATCCATGACTGACATAGGTATGTATGTGTGTGAAGGGGAATCTTGCAACTAAATTCAGACGAATCATCTAATGATAAGCAATCGACGCCGCCCATGGACACCTAAAATACCAAAGGATGAGAGGAGTATCAGTCCCCTTTTAGGGATTAGGGATTAGAGGCGTCGGTCGCCTCACTCACACGGCCTGAACAAAGGGAAATATGTGAAATCGCAGCTTGAAATTGATAATAAGGTATTTATTTATTCTTTTTCTTTTCCAGTACAAACGACATTGGCAATTTGTATATAAATCAAGTGAAACATAACCATGAAGGTTCATATGTGTGCGTAGCTGAAAACAATGGCGGTATTGCTGAAAAAAGTACTTACCTCAAAGTTAATGGTAAGTCTGTGTTCTTATCTATTGAAGTCATAGGCCATTTTTATAATAACATACTAAATTAACTTAAAATCGCGGGTTACTCACCTGAATATACTGACGGCGATGTCGAGGTCGCGCGACATCGCCGCGACCGCGCACGCTGCTTATGAGGAAGAGACCCTCTGTGGCTCGAAACTAGTAGAGCTTATCTCAGTATATTTACGTAACCCGCGATTCTTAGTTAATAGTCCATTTTATTCAAGTTGAGAATTTAAAGTAACTCGGAGTGTCTTTTGTTTCAGAACCACCACAAATTTTAGAGGACAATTACACTGGACCGTATTTAGCTACAACTATGGATACGGCACTCACAATTGCTTGCCGAGCTACTGGGAAACCTAAACCTTATGTCGTGTGGTCTAAAGACGAATTTTATTTGAATAACGGTAATTTTGTAGTTATAAAATATTGAATCCATGATCCGGAAAGAAGAATGATAGATTATAACAAAATCAGTGAGATCGGGAGTTACACAAGTACATGACGTATGTAATTTTATAGAACAAGAAAATAGCTCACCTATGTCCACGTGACAAGAACTAATGATAAATCAAATCTGAAGGAATCCTAACTAGGTCACTGAAAAAGGACTTTCCTTATTCAATACCTACTAGACAATCGAACAGACTTGCTCATGGTCATCCGAAACACCACGGGAATCACAAAAGCGTTAACCTCTTGAAGGTTTGAAGGTCGTATCGGTTCGGAAATATAGCCGATACTAGCCAGAATGCTGCCTGTCCTTTAGCAGCTGTTTGCAGCTTTACGTAGTACTACCGGAGGCCTAATAGTCCCCAATCACCCGCATCCGCAACAATCCTCAAATTCCTTATCCATAAAAGGCTAGTAACACATTTTTAACGCGGTGTTTCAGGTGTCCATGAGCGCCGCCGATTGCTTACCATCAGGTTATCTATATGCGCGTTTATCAACTTATCCAATATAATAAAAAACTTTACAATAATCAGTCAATGACTGTTTTAGATCCTCGATACACCATAGATTTAGACGGTACATTGACGATCAAGTCTCCGTCAGAAGATATGAGCGGCAACTACACTTGTACTGTGAAGAATTCCATCGGAGTGGTGAATAAGACGGTACCTGTTGAAATATATTGTAAGTATACGTTATTAAATGCATATTAATTTGTTTTTACATAACATAACATCACACCTTTTATCCCCGAAGGGGTAAGCAGAGGTCCACATTACGGCACTTAATGCCACTGTACAATGTAACACCCACTTTTCACTATTTACGTTATGAGTCCCATGTATTAAGGGTGAGCCTATTGCCATATACGGACCACAAATTCTAGTAGTTATTAGTTTTTGAGGGGAGAAAATCATCAATTGACTCGTCCTAACCGAGCGTGAGGCGAGAGAGAGCGTCAAGTCAACATTGAGACCTTCATAAGGTTTGATGGTTATCGGATTTGAGACTGAAGAAAAAAAATAAAAAAAGGTTTGTCAGTTTGGGTATGGGGATGTCGTACTACAGAGGTTAGGGCGCCCGCTTCTCAAGCAAGAGTGAGAGGACATTTTCCGAGATACTATGTACTGCCGAAGATTACTACTAACTGACATTCAGTGAAAATAAACAACATAACATAACGTCACGCCTTTTACCCCAAAGGGGTAGGCAAAGGTGTACATTATGCCACTGTACAATGTAACACCCACTTTTCACTATTAATGTTATGAGTCCCATGTAATAGGGGGTGAGCCTATTGCCATATTATTATACCGGGCACAATTCCAGACTCCGTTCTACTACTGAGAATTTTTAATTTGGCCCTTCTTTACAATCTTGTCGATATTTGAGCGCGGTTCAGCCATATTTTTAGTGTAGTGCCTATAGACACGCGCGCTTGTCTGCGTAACTCGTAACAACTTCATTCATTGGCTTGCCAGCCAAAACTGGGCGTGCCCGAGCGTACGCAAACAAAGACAATGTGCGTGTCCATTTTCCCACACAAGTATAGAGCACCCGCGCTCGTTAGATAAAACATCTATACCAGATATTTTATTTCCTCCTTCAGCAATTCCGGTTCATTCACAATCAGAAGAGAGCTTGTCTTCAGTGACGCTGGTAGAAGGAACTAACGCTACGGTCGAGTGCCCCGTCACAGGCTCGCACTCACTCAAATGGTATAAGGTTCGATGTTACACTATGAAATTATATTAATTTATATTTTTTCTTTATAAACTTCAAAAAACAGTGAGATTCTTAGATTTTGAAATTCTCAGTAATTAGAAATCTGGAAATTAAATCATATATTCGTTCTTATTGGAACGGAACTAACATCATAGCTAAAAATCAAATCGGCTAATCGATTTTTTTTATAATTTTGCTAGATTTTTTTACAATAAGAACGAATATACATATAAACAAGAATATCGCCAAACACAGAGTTTCAGACTGTAAGGTTTTTTAAACA